AAACAAATAATCCAATTACGTAACTCGTTAATACAAATTACAAAACAAAATAAATAAACAACTATAAAATTTAAAAAACAAAATAAAAATAGTTAAAAAGTAAACAAAGTAGTTAAATTCAAACTAATTATAAAAATTAATTAAAATTTAAAAATTATATTCAAACTAATTAAAAAACTCATTAAAATTACGTAACTAGTTAATAAAAATTACAAAATTAAAATTTAAAATAAACAAAAAATTAAAATCCAATTACGTAACTCGTTAATAAAATTAAACTAATTAAAAAACGCATTAAAATTACGTAACTAGGTCAATGATTACGTCACAAGGTCGGTGATTACGTCATAATGTCACTGATTACGTCACAAGGTCAACGGAGATTACGTCACCCCTCCTGCTCCCCCAGGGAGTATTTTACTATATCTCGTTGTACCAGGCTGCACCCACCCTCACCCAGCCTCTGCGCCAGGCTCACCCAGGCGGGTGAGTATTTTACTATATCTCATTGTCCCAGGCTGCGCCACCCTCCTGCTCCGCCAACCCCAGTTGGCGTAGTATTTTACTATATCTCGTTGTCCCGCCTGCGCATCCTGCTCACCCACCCTTACCCTGCCGCTGCGCCAGGCTGGGAGTATTTTGCTATATCTCATTGTACCAGGCTGCGGATCCTGCTCTGAGTATTTTACTATATGTCATTGTTCCTCCCCATCCCCTGCTCCGCCAAAAATACTAACCAAAAGTGACCTAATATACTACTGGTCTAAGGGGAGGGGGTGCAGAACGCATCGGGTGACACTATTCACCGGGTGTCACCATTTATGGGGTGATACCAAAACACCCGTTTGCCAACTGTTTTCAGAAAATCTGATTTGTCATTTTAACATAACAATTTATTATACGTATATTATTCTATATCATTATGGTAAATGTCTTTAGAAACATGGTGACACCACCCGGGATAGGGTGACACCAAACTACCTCTATATTTTGTATATTCAACCTATGATATACTATACATCGTCGTGTGAGAAGAGGAGACACACGCCATCCTTCTTAATGACGCCACACTCCTTAGTGACGCCACCCTCCTTAGTGACTCCACCCTCCTTAGTGACTCCACCCTCCTTAGTGACGCCACCCCATTCCTAGTGACGCCACCCTTCCTAGTGACGCCACCCTCCTTAGTGACGCCCCCATTCCTAGTGACGCCACCCTCCCTAGTGACGCCACCCTCCCTAATAACGCCACCCTCCCTAGTGACGCCACCCTCCCTAGTGACGCCACCCTCCCTAGTGACGCCACCCTCCCTAGTGACGCCACCCTCCCTAATGACGCCACCCTCCCTAGTGACGCCCCCATTCCTAGTGACGCCACCCTCCTTAGTGACGCCACCCCTCCCTACTGACGCCACCCTCCCTAATAACGCCACCCTCCCTAGTGACCCCACCCTCCCTAATGACGCCACCCTCCCTAATGACGCCACCCTCCCTAGTGACGCCACCCTCCCTAGTGACGCCACCCTCCCTAATGACGCCACCCTCCCTAATAACGCCACCCTCCCTAGTGACGCCACCCTCCCTAGTGACGCCACCCTCCCTAGTGACGCCACCCTCCCTAGTGACGCCACCCTCCCTAATGACGCCACCCTCCCTAATGACGCCACCCTCCCTAGTGACGCCACCCTCCCTAGTGACGCCACCCTCCCTAGTGACGCCACCCTCCCTAATGACGCCACCCTCCCTAATAACGCCACCCTCCCTAGTGACGCCACCCTCCCTAGTGACGCCACCCTCCTTAGTGACGCCCCCATTCCTAGTGACGCCACCCTCCTTAGTGACGCCACCCCTCCCTACTGACGCCACCCTCCCTAATAACGCCACCCTCCCTAGTGACGCCACCCTCCCTAGTGACGCCACCCTCCCTAATGACGCCACCCTCCCTAATGACGCCACCCTCCCTAATGACGCCACCCTCCCTAATGACGCCACCCTCCCTAATGACGCCACCCTCCCTAGTGACGCCACCCTCCCTAGTGACGCCACCCTCCCTAGTGACGCCACCCTCCTTAGTGACGCCCCCATTCCTAGTGACGCCACCCTCCTTAGTGACGCCACCCCTCCCTACTGACGCCACCCTCCCTAATAACGCCACCCACCCTACTGACGCCACCCTCCCTAGTGACGCCACCCCTCCCTAGTGACGCCACCCTCCCTAGTGACGCCACCCTCCCTAGTGACGCACCCTTCCTAGTGACGCCCCCTCCCTAGTGACGCCACCCTCCCTAGTGACGCCACCCTCCCTAGTGACGCCACTACACATTTGATAACAGATTTTTAAAAAGTTGTTTAAAAAAGGTAATGAAATATGCCATGGCACGCAGGAAGAGTCGCTGTGTTTTCAATAAGCTTGATCCCACTTGACAAAATTTTTTTTTTAATTCCCAAACTTGAATTAGCCAAAGAGGTCTCATTATCGAACTATGCTTTTATTTAAAGAAAGCAAGTTTGATTATTTCACTGTTATTCATTGCAGAGAATTTGAAAATAGTTAATTGCCCATTAGACTACATTTCTATTTATTCACATGAAGTTTCACTTTAGTAAGACAGACTTTGATTGGCTGTAAGACAGACTTTGATTGGCTGTAAGATTTGATTGGCTGTAAGACAGACTTTGATTGGCTGTAAGACAGACTTTGATTGGCTGTAAGACAGACTTTGATTGGCTGTAAGACAAACTTTGATTGGCTGTAAGACAGACTTTGATTGGCTGTAAGACAGACTTTGATTGGTCACGAGTTGATTTCTGTCTTCCCAATCTTACTCCAAATTATTCCGATACATTTTGTTAAAAACTGCATACCCGGAACGACCTCGTTTCGCTACGTTTATTGCATTTACTATGTGACCAGAACAAAAATCTTATTAACTTTTTACACAATTTTGTTTAGCTATCGATTACATTAAAAAACAACAAATTCGACTATGTTTTTTTTTAGAAAAGATAGGCATGTACACAAATCACGCAGTCAAGTTTTAGAGCATAGCGCGCGATTTTTAGCCTTTCTGGGGTAAAACGTGGTGTTAGATTTAAACTCCTCTCTTACTTTAATTAAAAACAACAACAACATAAACAAAGCAGGTTATGGTGACATTACTGTACAAGCCAAACAGTCGAAATGAGACCCGGATCAAACTATTTGAAAGGAACATTAACCTTAGTTCACTTAGAGTTGCGGTTCTTAATCTATTTTTAGTAACGGGTGCGACGTGATTGGTTGTCAACATAGGGTCATGTCAACATGACATTGGAGGCGTGACATTTTATATGAGTGAACTTTTCAGTACGTTGTAAAGACAAACGGGTTCACATAAACTGTTAAGTTTTGTTTTTTTTTCGTTGGTAGGTTAATCATGATTTTATAGATCAAAGTTAGATAATTATAACGTCGAGTAGTGTTTAAAAACTTAATTTACTTTAATTATAGTTGATTTCATTTATATCTTTCTTTGAAAGCTAATTTGTTTTATTTGTATCAACGTTAACAAAGCTCAACATCAACAACACAAAAACATGCGCACACACCTTCCATGGATTTAGAACGTGTTTACTTCAAATATAATCTTCCCCACAGGAGAGTTCTGTAACTAAATTTCAATTTAAATCTTCTGCTAGTGAGTTCTTTGACTGCATGTAAATATCCCATTTGCTTCAAGTTGTAAAGGCGACATCATTGTTTACGTCAGATTTACAACCCTAAGGATCTTCCGTATACGACATCACGTCCCTGCAATTTAAAGCAACGCTTTAAACTGATTTTTTTTCACGTTATTTCTCGTTTTTAAAAACCGCTTGTGTAAAGAATACTAGAAATAGTTGGAAGAATTAATATACTCAATGTTGACCAAGCTCAGTCAATACTGTAGAAACATTGATAATGTTAGAAAAAAAAATTAAGTGCAATTATGAGGAGTGGTAGACTGAATTATGACGTTATTTAAGTTGGGGGGGAGGCTGGCTTTTTGGCTGCCTTGACGATGTGTGACGATATGTCGATAGGGAGGGAGGGAGGGAGGGAGGGAGGGAGGGAGGGAGGGAGGGAGATAAATATCGCGTGACGTCGTTTATATCCTTCCGTAGGATCAGAGGCGCCCGGGGACAAACTTTTGATTTGCACCCCCCCCCCTCAATCTATTGATTCCCCCCCCCCCCCCCTCAAACTTTCAATTTGTTTTTCCAACCCATTTTGGCGCAACCCTAAGTCGGCGCTCGGGGACATATGTCCCACCCCGACCCACACCCCCTCGCTACGCCTCTGCGTAGGATATTACATATCCTTCTTCTTCTACGTGTTTCAAGCTTTCGACCCTTAGTTCGGTAGATATTTTACCCTGAGGTTAGGTTAGTGATATTTTAAATGTTTAATTAAAAAAAATAAATTGCATGTGTTTGCTCAATGCAATAACTCACCTATAACAAGTTTATGCTTTATAGATTTAAAAAAAAATCAACCTAAAGAATTGTACAGTGGTAGATGTAATAGGAGACGTTGGATATTGAGGACTTACATGTGTAAGGGCTGTGTTTTTAATGTTATTGCAGGATAAAAGTCTGTAAGTGTATACTAAGACAAAAGTCTGTCTCTGCATACAAAAACAATCACTGCATGCCAAGACAAAAGTCTGTCAGTGCACGCCAAGACAAAAGTCTGTCACTGCATAAAAAGACAAAAGTCTTTCACTGCATGCTAATCAAAAGTCTTTCAATGCATGCCAAGCGAACACCTCAAGCAATAACTTAACTCGGTCTTTGTTGTTTTACATCGTGTCACCTCTCGTTCCGTCAGTTCACCTCCCCACCCCCACCCAAACCCCCACCCCCACCCAAACCCCCACCCCCACCCAAACCCCCACCCCCACCCCCACCCTCCCTTCCCCACCTCTCTGATTATATTACAAGTTAAGTTTTCAGTACACACGGCTAGAGTTCTTTTCACAACCTTATGGGTTCTCGCTGAGGTCCACTTGGATTTAAGTAAACTAATCGTGCGATATTGTGTTCAATAATCTTGGAGGATAGATTTCAAGTTTTCAAAAGTGTTTTCAACAATGTTTGGAGTTTGGTGGTAAATAAAAATAGTTTCAATTAGATTATTTAAATAGGCACATTTTTAAAGTTCACTAGACTATTTAGAAATATTTTTAAACACTTTTAAATTGTTTTAGTGTGACTATTTTGATTTAGATGCTGGTAAGGAATAAATTCTAGTCTATATCATCGGGTTGACGGGCACCTTGTTCCCTGGGTTGACGGGCACCTTGTTCCCTGGGTTGACGTGCTCATTGTTCCCCGGGTTGACGTGCTCATTGTTCCCCGGGTTGACGTGCTCATTGTTCCCTGGGTTGACGGGCACCTTGTTCCCTGGGTTGACGTGCTCATTGTTCCCCGGGTTGACGTGCTCATTGTTCCCCGGGTTGACGTGCTCATTGTTCCCTGGGTTGACGGGCACCTTGTTCCCTGGGTTGACGTGCACCTTGTTCCCTGAGTTGACGTGCACCTTGTTCCCTGGGTTCCCTGGGTTGACGGGCACCTTGTTTCCTGGGTTGACGGGCACCTTGTTCCCTTTGTTCCCTTGGTTGACGGGCACCTTGTCCCTCTGGGTTGACGGGCACCTTGTTCCCTTGGTTGACGGGCACCTTGTTCCCTGGGTTGACGTGCACCTTGTTCCCTGGGTTGACGGGCACCTTGTTCCCTTTGTTCCCTTGGTTGACGGGCACCTTGTCCCTCTGGGTTGACGGGCACCTTGTTCCCTTGGTTGACGGGCACCTTGTTCCCTGGGTTGACGTGCACCTTGTTCCCTGGGTTGACGGGCACCTTGTTCCCTGGGTTGACGGGCACCTTGTTCCCTTTGTTCCCTGGGTTGACGGGCACCTTGTCCCTCTGGGTTGACGGGCACCTTGTTCCCTTGGTTGACGGGCACCTTGTTCCCTGGGTTGACGGGCACCTTGTTCCCTGGGTTGACGTGCACCTTGTTCCCTGGGTTGACGTGCACCTTGTTCCCTGAGTTGACGTGCACCTTGTTCCCTGGGTTCCCTGAGTTGACGTGCACCTTGTTCCCTGGGTTCCCTTGGTTGACGGGCACCTTGTTCCCTGGGTTGACGGGCACCTTGTTCCCTGGGTTGACGGGCACCTTGTTCCCTTGGTTGACGGGCACCTTGTTCCCTGGGTTGACGGGCACCTTGTTCCCTGGGTTGACGGGCACCTTGTTCCCTGGGTTGACGGGCACCTTGTTCCCTGGGTTGACGGGCACCTTGTTCCCTTGGTTGACGGGCACCTTGTTCCCTGGGTTGGCGTGCACCTTGTCCCTCTGAGTTGACGTGCACCTTGTTCCCTGGGTTCCCTGGGTTGACGGGCACCTTGTTCCCTGGGTTGACGGGCACCTTGTTCCCTGGGTTGACGTGCACCTTGTTCCCTTGGTTGACGGGCACCTTGTTCCCTGGGTTGACGTGCACCTTGTTCCCTGGGTTGACGGGCACCTTGTTCCCTGGGTTGACGGGCACCTTGTTCCCTGGGTTGACGGGCACCTTGTTCCCTGGGTTGACGGGCACCTTGTTCCCTGGGTTGACGTGCACCTTGTTCCCTGAGTTGACGTGCACCTTGTTCCCTGGGTTCCCTGGGTTGACGGGCACCTTGTTCCCTGGGTTGACGGGCACCTTGTTCCCTGGGTTGACGGGCACCTTGTTCCCTTGGTTGACGGGCACCTTGTTCCCTGGGTTGACGTGCACCTTGTTCCCTTGGTTGACGGGCACCTTGTTCCCTGGGTTGACGGGCACCTTGTTCCCTGGGTTGACGGGCACCTTGTTCCCTTGGTTGACGGGCACCTTGTTCCCTGGGTTGGCGTGCACCTTGTCCCTCTGAGTTGACGTGCACCTTGTTCCCTGGGTTCCCTGGGTTGACGGGCACCTTGTTCCCTGGGTTGACGTGCACCTTGTTCCCTTGGTTGACGGGCACCTTGTTCCCTGGGTTGACGGGCACCTTGTTCCCTTTGTTCCCTTGGTTGACGGGCACCTTGTCCCTCTGGGTTGACGGGCACCTTGTTCCCTTGGTTGACGGGCACCTTGTTCCCTGGGTTGACGTGCACCTTGTTCCCTTGGTTGACGGGCACCTTGTTCCCTGGGTTGACGTGCACCTTGTCCCTCTGGGTTGACGGGCACCTTGTTCCCTGGGTTGACGTGCACCTTGTTCCCTTGGTTGACGGGCACCTTGTTCCCTGGGTTGACGTGCACCTTGTTCCCCAGCTTACCTTCTAACGTGTTCCCGGCACCTACCTAAACACCATGGCCACCAGGTACTAAACCCTTGCCCTCCACAGCCTCACCCTCCTGCTCTGCCTCGGCTACTCAGAGGCTCATCAGTACTACCAGGATAGGATCCCCAACGGTCACCATGTGCCCCACCCCTGCATCCCCACCTACGGGTGGCCCGGGGTCGGGCATCAGAATCAGGACGGGGGAGGTGCAAGGAATCGGTTTGGTGAGGACTTTGCCACTGCTGGGCACAAGGTGAGATACCCCTCAGGTTTTCTGTTTTGGTTTTGTCTCGTGTTATCTCACAAGACACGAGATTTTCTAGAGACTTACAGGCGGGAAAGATTTAATGCTGATTAAGTGTAGAATATCTTATAACTTATAATGTAAAACCCACATAATTTCAATTCAAAGCAATCATTGTATGCGTAGCAATTTTTTTAATGAACTAGCATTTAAAAAATTTAAACTTATGTGTTTTGGCATATTAAAGTAAAAAAAAATAATTTAATTTGGTATAGAGTTAGAGAATTGTATGGCGCATTAAATTAAAATACAAATTAAAAATTCTGTCAAAAATATATCCGACAATTGCATGGTGCTGATCTGGCCTAGAGTTAGCAAGTTTCAGCATCAATGCCAGAGTACTGCGCCCCTGCTAGTACTGTTTTAAATAGTTTAAATTGGTATTGGAAGACCGAAGCTCTTCTATGTTTTCCGGTTAAAAAAAAGACAGTATCTTACAGCTATGCTGTTGTGGTATAGCTTTTAATGTAAAGATGAAGGTAAACCAGAGGCGTAGCGAGGGGGAGGGGGCGGGGAGGGGGTGCGGACCGCGCGGGGAGGGGGTGCGGACCGTGCGGGGAGGGGGTGCGGACCGCACTGGGTGACACCATTTAGGGGGGCGACACCAAGGCAAAAAATAGCAAAATATATAGAGAAAAACGTGAGGGGTGGGGGGGGGGGGATGCAAATAAAAAGTTTGAGGGGGGGGGGGGGTGCAAATCGAAATTTGAAAGTTTGTCCCCGGGAAGGGTCGCTACGCCTCTGGGGGGTGACACCATAAAGTGCCGCACCGGGTGACAACCGACATCGCTACGCCACTGGGTTAAACTACAGTGTTTCTTCCAGACTTTTTTCTCCGGGATGGCACTTGAAATTTTCGGGGGAGGGGGGTGTAGACTTTCTTCGGGGGGCGGACACTGTTAAAAGTATATATTTTCTATATAAATTATATAAATTTCATTTCGTTCGGGGGAAGGGGGGGGGGTAGAATTTTTTCAGGGGGGGGGGGGGTTGTTAAACTACCGTTTAGGTTCTTGATTAGGATTAATGTTAGGTTTAGAGTAATGTCAAGGAAGTGCCGGCGCCAGGATATTTAGCGCCCTAGGTGAAACTTATTAAAACACCCCCTTTCACACAATGTAATTACTAAAACATGTGTAAGAAAACAATTAACTAAAAGCGACATATTAATTTATTATTAGTTGCATACACGTTATAAGTAGACATCAAAATCTAATTTTACTTGCCTCCTTCGTTTGTATAAATTCCAGTTTGCAAGTGTAATCACATGTTATTGAAATTGTTGCTAAGTGCACGAGTCTACTTTGTACTTTACGACACAAAATGTCATAAATAATATAGATTCAATCCTAAAATTGTTATATATGAATCTTTTAGGAGAGGGTGAAAAATATGAAAAGATGATTGATTAGATTGTTAATTTACGTCTGTATGTCTACTAACATTAAGTATTGCAATCTATAACGGCTACTGATGTATTTGTCTTTCAACTTGATCATGCTAAAACAAAAACTACCAAACTATTTTTTTTTAGATCTTATGCTCTATATAATTTTTACAACAGCAAATAATAACTTAAAGTTGTATTTATATGTTAGCGGTCAACCTAAGGTGCAGGAATTTGAAACGAATGTAAAGTTAAGCAATGAATTTTCTCCCATTTGGAAACCCCAAAAAAAAAATTAATTCAAGGGAAATAACTTCCATAAGAGTAGCTAAATTAACAAGTATAACTAAGACATCAATGAAAAACACAAAAAAACACTCTAAATTTCATTATATAACCATTATATTAAATCTTTTATATTGGCTATGTAACCTTGTGAAAAAAAATATATTTTACTCATTGAATTTTTAACTGTAGGTTTTGCTTGAAAGTATAAAAACTGTAGCTTTATTACAACATACTTCCATTCAATATCGATGACATTCATTTCTTAATCGCCCAGACTTAAATCAGTGTAATAAAATTTTGGATCCCCTAAATAAAGGGACACCTTTTCTAAATATCAAACACGGGTAACTGTTTTAGACATTGCTAGAATTGTTGAATAACTATAAAAAAAATTATAATTTGAAAAAAAACAAACAAAGTTTACGGTTAGTTATAAATTCCAACATATTTAATATTATATTAATTCTTTAAGAGTGGTAATATAGATTACTAAAAAACTAAAGAAGTTTCAACTAGAGAACGCCTACTTTTCTTTGTATTCAGTGTAGTGTGTTCCGTACTGAATTGAAATCATTTAACTTGCGATAAACTCGACTACTCGATATACTCTATTACATTCACAACACATCAAACTTCGATACCTCAACATAACTAGACTCGATGCTCCAGAACTACGACACCAACTCGCTTAACTACACCAAGCTCTACAAACGGTACTCCCAAATCAACAACAATTTTTCTGGACCTACTACTACACCTTAACAGTCAATATAATTCGATACCTTAATACCACAAGGTTCGATAGTCTCGAACTCCAGAACTCCGGTACTTCATCACCTGCGTTCTTGTTTCTCTTCAACTACAATGCAGCCGAATAAAAATTGCTTTATACCTACGAAACCATATCAGCAACAGCCTTCCACCGTTACTCCCAAATCTAAACTTCTTCTTCTTCTTCTTCGTTCTTAATTATTAGTGTTGAAGGGGATAGAGATTTATCTGCCAGTGGGTTCGAACTCGAGACTGTTCGAATGTATCAACCATGAGCTTTTTGCCGACTCGACCACGCCTCCAACACAATTACGTGTTACGTGTCAACTGGTTTTGCGCCATTGAGGCCATTGACTCCGATTTCAGCCTGCTTTTCTTTTTGGATTTGCTTCCAACCAAGAACAAACTACAAGGCAGCAGTTGTTTAATTTTGGAGTTGTCTCTCCTAGAAGAGTGGCTGTCCCCAGCTAACGAGCCTCATCTGCCCGAGGGTTCGAACTCGAGACTTTTCGGTTTAGCAACCATGAGCTTTACCGACTCGACCACGCCGACCCCTGCCAAAACTAAACGATTCATCAAATCTTACCAAACAAGTACAATACTTTGAACACCCTGTCATTACAAAACTCTATACACCAGGACAGATTTCTAATTCAAAGTCAGAGAAAACGTGACTACAAGTACTACAAGCCCTATTAAAATTAAATAACCGTTTGAAATGTTTGAATTTTAAATAACGAACTTATTTAATCGTTTTCTACATCAATTATGTGACACCAAATTAAAAAGGTAAAGTGACTGGTAAAAAGCGCCCCGACCTTTCCAAATTAGGGATGTGGGGTTGCATTTTCACCATCGCGAATAAATATATGCCTAAATAGACCTAATTTTGGGTTGGGGGTGCAAAATTAATAGTTCGTCCTGGGTTCTACCAATAGATCGCTACTCCTTTAGAAAAGTTATTAATTATTAGGTACTTTTTGATAATAGCGATTAAACATTTTGCGCCCCCCCCCCCTAGGGATGGCGCCCTAGGCGACCACCTAGTTTGCCTTATAGGTAGCGGCGGCCCTGTGTCAAGGACTAAGTTTATAGTAGGGGTCATAGTAGGGGTCATAGTAGGGCTCATAGTAGGGGTCATAGTAGGGGTCATAGTAGGGGTCATAGTAGGGGTCATAGTAGGGGTCATCAAATAAAAAACGTTAGGGCTATGTCATGCAGCACATTTGAACTAAATATAAAATCTCTGCGGCCATGACAGAGAAAACATGAATTCTCTCCCTTACGCAATAGCTTAAATAACTGCTGAGTGTGTGACTGGTAGAGTTGTTTCATTAGACCTGGATATCATTAGAGTAAATGAAGTTGAACTCGTGTTTCTTGACCACGCCATATTAAAAAATGGTGTGGTCAGCACTATGTCCAGCCGCCTTTACTTTCCCTACCATGAGTCACGTACATATCAGAGCTTAGTGGACATTCTACTGACTCATATCCGGGATCCGAACTCGAGACTTTCGGGATAGCACTCGAGCGCTTTACCACTCAACCACGCTTTCCCATTTTGTCACTAAAACTAACGCTTACAACCCCTAGCCGAAGTGTGATACCATGTGACCCCTCCCCCCCCCTACAGTGGACACAAGAGCTCTGCCGCAATGACTCGGACAATGACGGGCTGACCAATGGCCAGGAGCTTGGGGACCCCGACTGTGTCTGGACCCCCCACGCCAACCCCACCCGCGTCGAAAACGTCACACACCCGGGGGTCTGTGAGCCGGTGGACGGTCCCGGGTGCCAGAACAGAAGCAGCTACGTCTCCTGTCAGCGGGATGCCTTTGAGCTATGTGACGCAATCCGCTCCCCTGGTGAGTATGGTCCATTTATTACTGATTGATTAATAATTAATTAATGTATTAATTAGTTTACAGCCAGTAAGTGGCAGTGTAGATGCCATGGAGTGTAAGTTGCTTGTTATTTAGCACACTAATCTGTTACTAGCTCTAGGTCAAACGTAACACTTACCTAACTCTAATCTAATGTAAACCTAATCTATTGTAACCCTAATCTATTGTAACACTAATCTAACTCTAATCTATTGTAACCCTAATCTAACTCTAATCTATTATAACCCTAATCTAACTCTAATCTAATGTAGCCCTAACCTAAATTAAAACAGTCATATGTCTAACCTAACTTTAAACTACAGTAACACTAACCTAACTCTAATTTAGCGTAAACACAAACCTAAAGTAAAACAGCCCTATGCTTAACCTAACTCTAATGTAACCTAACCTAAATTAAAACAGTCAAATGTCTAACCTAACTAGAATCGCTTTTGGCTTAACCCAAACTTAAACCAAGCACAACGTAGCCGTAATTTATATCAATCACACTGGAACCATATTATAATCAAACTTTGACCCTAAATTTAGACTTAAACCAAGCCTTATACGTTTTTTACCCTTATTGTAAGAAAAGTCTTTTACAAGATTTTCCTCTTAATTTTCTTCCTTTTTTATTGTAATTTTAGAGGTGATTTCCTTCTACAGTTAATTAAGTATTACGTAGCAGTATGTTATGCACCATATGACAAACTGACTCCGATTTTAGCCTGCTTTATTTTATGAATTTACTATCCAATTTCTAAAAAGTCGATATTATCATTAAATTCTATCGAAGCCTCGTTTTGGTTTTCAAAAATATTCTAACTCGCCAGACGTGAGAAACATGACCTTGACCTTGACCCGCGTGACCATCCCGCCCACGGGCACCAGCTACATCTGCCAGAGCTTCGACCTGCCCAGCGACCAGAGCTACCATATCGTGGCTGACCAGCCGATAGTGGACAACAGGGAGCTGCTGCACCACATGTTGCTGTTTGGCTGTCTGGACGGTGAGGTGCTAGCATATGGAGGCGGTGGGGGGGGGTGTTAGGGGTGGGGGATCTAAGGGGGGGGGGGGGGTGTTAGGGAGGATCTAAGGGGGGGGGGTGTAAACAATAAGTCACTAACCCCACCACCCCCCACCCCCCCACCCCCACCCTACGGGAGTAGGTGCTAGCATTGGGGGATGTTAGGGAAGAGGAGATCTAAGGGGATGTAAACACTAACCCCACCCCACGGGAGTAGGTGCTAGCATATGGAGGGGGGAGTGTTAGGGGGTGGGGGATCTAAGGGGGGGGGTGTAAACACTAACCCCCACCCCCACCACCACGGGAGTAGGTGCTAGCATAGGTGGATGTTAGGGGGTGGGGATCTAAGGGGGGTGTAAACACTAACCCCACCCCACCTCCCACCCCCACGGGAGTAGGTGCTAAATATGGGGATGTTAGGGGGTGGGGGATCTAAGAGGGATGTAAACACTAACCTCAATCTCTCAAAGGGCAGTATGATGCAAGTATACGCGGTTCTGAGTGAGTAGGGTGGGGGAGGGGGGTGTAAACACTACCCCCCCCCCCCCACTCCCTCACAACAGTATGGTGCTAGCATAGGCGTATCTAGAAGAGTGTACTTAAATATTTTCCAAGAACGGATCAAACCGGGGATGTACATTTAATACCCCTCTCTCCCCCACCCACCCTCTAATCCCACCCACCTCCCCACTAAAAAAGGCATACAAATATTTTAATATTTTAGGAAAATCACTTTTGTGTGAAGTGAAATATTTTAGTTTATAATTTGATTACTTGACGATAATAAGTTTAGAGATACTGACAAGTTTAAATCCTTTGCTGGTTATAACTTAAAAGATATGACAAAATATCTCATAACTAATTATCGCGGGACAATATATATATATATATATATATATATATATATATATATATATATATATATATATATATATATATTGACACACTTATATATATATATATATATATATATATATATATATATATATATATATATATATATATATATATATATATATATATATAATATGTAGGGAGAGGTGTGTGTGTGGTGTGGTGTGTGTGTGTTTGTGTGTGTGTCTGTCTGTGTGTCTGTCTGTTTGTGTGTGTGTATATATAATTAGTTCTACTCCACTGTATATTCGAGTGAATGAATGAAATTGAACCATTACCTCTCAGAAGCCACCGACCCAGTGGGCAGCTCCCACCCCCATCCATGTGAGATGAGCCCTGACCAATGCACGAGCATCATTGGCGGATGGACAGTGGGACAGTCAGGAGGGTGTTACGACGAGTCTATTGGTTTTAGAATAGGGGAGGAAGGTTTCAGCCGGGTCGTACTACAGGTTTGTCTTCTTACTTGTACCTATGTGGGCTAAACGTTTCAGGTCACTAACTTTTACTAACATCTCTGCATTAGTCTAAATCTTTACCAGGTCAGTCTATTTATAAACTCTTATTTTAAAAAATTAAATTAATTAAAATTATCTGCGAGTAGGTTCAATCTTGTGCTGTTTACAATATCTATGGTTGTCATTGTTGTCTACATTTATTACAAAGCGATACCCAGGGTCCAATTGTTTCTCTATAACAAACTCCAAATCCACATCAACATGTTTGTGTTATGTCAAGTTTTGACAGAGAACCACTACAACAGACTTAAGCAGATCCCATTCCTCCAGTACGAGAATCCTAAACTTATCTCACAAAACCATTCACCTTAACAATCCATAACTTATCTCACGGATCCACTACTTGAATCCTAAACATATCCCCTACAACAATCTAAACTTATCCACTACAACAACCCTAAACTTATCCACTACAGCAACCCTAAACATATCCACTACAACAATCCTAAACTTATCCCACAGATCCACTACAACAATCCTAAACTTATCCCACAGAGCCACTACACATATCCTAAACTTATCCCACAGATCCACTACACATATCCTAAACTTATCCCACAGATCCACTACAACAATCCTAAACTTATCCCACAGAGCCACTACACATACCCTAAACTTATCCCACAGAGCCACTACACATATCCTAAACTTATCCCACAGATCCACTACGGCAATCCTAAACTTATCCCACATATCCACTACACATATCCTAAAATTATCCCACAGATCCACTACGACAATTCCAATAATCCCAGCAATGAGACCAACATCACCGACGCCAGCGGTCTCCGACTCTACTACAGACCCGCCATGCCGACGGTCCAGGATCTAATCACATTCGTCGTAGGTCAAGAAGAGTTGCAGATACCCCCTGGTCAGTCGTCTTGTGAACCCATTGAAAAAAAATTTCTATTCCACCTGATGTCTCTCTGTCAAGCCTTTTTTTTTCTTGTTTGCGTGTGTTTGTGTATGTGTGTGTGTGTGCGTTTCAAAGTGTGTGTGAGTATATGTGTGACTGAGGGTGTAAGTGTTTGTGTGTGGGGGGAGGGGGGGTATGGTTGTATGCATGAGTATCTTTCTCTGTCTTAAACCCATATATCAATAGCAGAATAACAATATTATAATGGTCAATATGTCTCTCTGGTAAAAACCACCGGACTCAATTCGCCACCCTTTAATCCATCCCTCTCCCCCCTCCCCCGTGGACTAAACATGACCCTACGTCAACAATAACTCGGGGTAGACACCATTCTTCTATGGGACACACCCGTAACGCGTGTTGCCAACACATCTGTAAGAAAATATGAACACACTGTTGCACCATACGGTGTTTATGTTAGTCAAAAAATCGTATTGAAGGTTCACTAAAAAGTAAACAAAATGTTTAGTTAAGTTTTTCAACCTCTCCCCCTCCTCCCCCCCCCCCCCCCTCCCAGGTCAGTCCAGCCATTTTATTCAAGATTCTCTAAAAAGTAAACAAAATGTGTTTGTTAGTTTTTTCATCTCAAATTCTCTTCCCCCCCCCCCTCTCAGGACAGAGCCGAGTTGAACAATCTGCTGTCTGCCCTAGTGACTGTACCAGCATAATCCTAAAGAAACCTGCTTTCATTGTCAGCGTCCACAACCACATGCATTACCTGGGTGAGTACGTAATACAACACATGCATTACCTGGGTGAGTTTCATATCAACCATATGCATTACCTGGGTGAGTACGTAATACAACACATGCATTACCTGGGTGAGTTTCATATCAACCATATACATTATCTGGGTGAGTACGTAATACAACACATGCATTACCTGGGTGAGTTTCATATCAACCATATACATTATCTGGGTGAGTACGTAATACAACACATGCATTATCTTTGTGGCTTAAATCTAAACATGCATTACATATAAGGTGTGTTCATTTTTTCTACTCTGTAATCCTACCTGAGTGCTGTACTACCGCTACTGTCCAGAAATACTCGGATTTAGAAACGCATCCAACCGATCCTGTTTGAAATAGAGGGATATAACCAATGTATTAAGAAAACAAGGGACGTAACAATAGTATTATGACATCAAGGGATATTACCCAAACAAACATGAAAAATAGATTTTAAGTTTTTTCAAAATTATACTTTGATTAATTTCACATCATTATCATCACGCATCTCGTGAAACCGTTTAGGAGGAAAACTTTATCATACTGGGGTACTCTACCAAGTCGTTCCCAAAACATTCCAGATTCTTCTGCTTCACTGACTGCTGATCTTTTACAACACTGCTGTTGAATTAATGTTACATACAAATCTGTAACATCTAGGAGACTTCCAGTCAACAGGTTTCATATTGTCAAAATCTTCTTCTTCTTCGTTCTTAATTTTTAGTGTTGGGAGCTTTTTGCCGACTTGACCACGCCTCCATCACAATTAAGGATACGTGTCAACTGGTTATGCGCCATTGAGGCCATTGACTCCTGCTTTTCTTTTTGGATTTGCTTCCAAGAACAAACTACAAGGCAGTTGTTTGATTTTGGAGTTGTCTCTCCTAGAAGAGTGGCTGTCCCTAACTAACGAGCCTCATCTGCCCGAGGGTTCGAACTCGAGACTTCGGTTTAGCAACCATGAGCTTTACCGACTCGACCACACCGACCCCTTGTCAAAGTTTAATTAGTGAATATGGCATCCGTAGGGCTAAACATGCCTCCGTTAAAACCATTAAAGATAGGTTTGGTTTTTTTTTTTAAATGCAGGTCGAGAAATGAACGTGAGTTTGTACAGGAACGGTAGCAAGGTCAAGGATCTGAGCAAAGGCGATTTCAGTTATGATTCGCCCGTCACTCACAGGTAAGTTGAGCTCTATTGACATAGCTTGTTCAAATTAATTAGGTATAATTTTAAAAGGAAGGAGGCGGGGGGGGGGGGGGGGGGGTGAAGCGTATATAGATGTTAATTTTTCAAAATAAATTTTAAAAAACGTTCACGTTTCTTGAAGAACCAGATATATGCTCCTGTCATAGCTGAGGTTCATGTGTTATAACTTTAGCATTGGGGTTCAGAGGCGTAGCGACCCTTCCCGGCGCCCGGGGACAAACTTTCGATTTGCACCCCTCCCCCCCCCCCTTAAACAGTTGATGTGCACCCCCTAAAACTTTCAATTTGCACCCCCCCCCCCCCCTGAAACTTTCAATTTGTTTTTCCAACCCATTTTGGCGCCCCATAAGGTCGGCGCCCGGGGACATATGCCCCCCCCCCCCCTCACTACGCCTTTGTTGGGGTTGTGTTGAAGTTGTGTGGACCAAACTACAACAGCTAGGCAGTGTGCTGTCCACCAGCGTGTGGTCTAATGTGTTAAATCCAAGACACACACTTGAGTGCTCCGCTTAAGCAAGTCTTGAGCAATGTTTATGTCCCACCCCCCTTCCCGGATAATTTAGTCCGCCCCGGTTCCCCAAAAAAAAAAAACAGTTTCAAGCCCCCCCCCCCCCTTTCCATTTCCCCCACCCCCAAGAAAAAAAGTCTGGAAAAAAAAACCCACTGGTTTCTGCTTTAATCACACTTGTGCACGCTGACGAAGACCTTAGGTATAAACATAAAAGTACTTGCTATTATTCTCCAAGTGTAAAATTACGAACAATCTATTGATACATGTATGATTAAACCCCTAAACTCTGTATTAACCAATCTCTCACTACATTGATACATGTATGACCGAACCCCCTAAACCCTGTATTAACCAATCTCTCACTACATTGATACATGTTATGACCCAACCCCTAAACCCTGTATTAATCTCTCACTACATTGATACATGTATGACCGAACCCCTAAACCCTGTATTAATCTCTCACTACATTGATACATGTATGATTAAACCCCTAAACCCTGTATTAACCAATCTCTCACTACATTGATACATGTATGACCCAACCCCTAAACCCTGTATTAATCTCTCACTATAACTGATACATGTATAACCCAACCCCTAAACCCTGTACTAATCTCTCACTACATTGATACATGTATGACCGAACCCCTGAACCCTTATTAATCTCTCACTATAACTGATACATGTATGACCCAACCCCTAAACCCTGTATTAACCAATCTCTCACAATAACTGATACATGTATGATCGAACCCCTAAACCCTTATTAATCTCTCACTACATTGATACATGTATGACCCAACCCCTAAACCCTGTATTAACCTCTCACTACATTGATACATGTATGACCCAACCCCCAAACCCTGTATTAACCTCTCACTAAATTGATACATGTATGACCCAACCCCTAAACCCTGTATTAACCTCTCACTACATTGATACATGTATGACCCAACCCCCAAACCCTTATTAATCTCTCACTACATTGATACATGTATGACCCAACCCCCAAACCCTGTATTAACCTCTCACTACATTGATACATGTATGACCCAACCCCCAAACCCTTATTAATCTCTCACTACATTGATACATGTATGACCCGACCCCTAAACCCTTATTAATCTCTCACTATAACTAATACATGTATGACCCAACCCCTAAACCCTTATTAATCTCTCACTATAACTGATACATTTGTATAACCGAACCCCTAAACCCTGTATTAACCAATCTCTCACTACATTGATACATGTATGACCCAACCCATAAACCCTGTATTAACCTCTCACTACATTGATACATGTATGACCAGAGTTTCTTCCAGGCATGCCCCCCCCCCCCCCCCCCCCGAAAATTTTTTACCGCCCCCCCCCCCGAACGAAATGAAATTTATATAATTTATATAGAAAATATATACTTTTAACAGTGTCCGCCCCCCCGAAGAAAGTTTACCGCCCCCCCCCCCGAAGATTTCAAGTGCCCCCCCGGAGAAAAAAGTCTGGAAGAAACACTGTGTATGACCCAACCCCTAAACCCTGGATTAATCTCTCACTACATTGATACATGGGTGGACTCAGGGACGGTCTACTAACTTGAACACGGATTCGAACTCGAGACTTACGGGTTTAGCAATCCAGCTCTCTACCGCTAGACCACTCCGTCCCAACTCCGATGGGTACCTAACTCACGTTAGGGAAAGTAAAGGCGGCTAGGCATAGTGTTGACCACACTATCTCTTCATATGCCGATGTCACAGAAACAAGTGAACTCTACTTCACTTACCCCATAGACCGTCAGGTTTGAAAGGGAAACGTCACTTTACTTACATTGATACATGTTATGACCCAACCCCTAAACCCTGTATTAATCTCTCACTACATTGATACATTTGTATGACCCAAGCCCTAAACCCTGTATTAATATCTCACTATAACTGATGCATATATGACCGAACCCCTAAACCCTATATTAACCAATCTCTCACTACATTGATACATGTATGACCGAACCCCTAAACCCTTATTAATCTCTCACTATAACTGATACATGTATGACCGAACCCCTAAACCCTTATTAATCTCTCACTATAACTGATACATGTATGACCGAACCCCTAAACCCTTATTAATCTCTCACTATAACTGATACATGTATGACCCAACCCCTCAACCCTGTATTAATCTCTCACTATAACTGATACATGTATGACCCAACCCCTCAACCCTGTATTAATCTCTCACTCCATTGATACATGTATGACCCAACCCCTCAACCCTGTATTAATCTCTCACTCCATTGATACATGTATGACCCAACCCCTCAACCCTGTATTAATCTCTCACTCCATTGATACATGTATGACCCAACCCCTCAACCCTGTATTAATCTCTCACTCCATTGATACATGTATGACCCAACCCCTCAACCCTGTATTAATCTCTCACTCCATTGATACATGTATGACCCAACCCCTCAACCCTGTATTAATCTCTCACTCCATTGATACATGTATGACCCAACCCCTAAACCCTTATTAATCTCTCACTACATTGATACATGTATGACCCAACCCCTAAACCCTTATTAATCTCTCACTATAACTGATACATGTATGACCGAACCCCTAAACCCTTATTAATCTCTCACTATAACTGATACATGTATGACCGAACCCCTAAACCCTTATTAATCTCTCACTATAACTGATACATGTATGACCGAACCCCTAAACCCTTATTAATCTCTCACTATAACTGATACATGTATGACCCAACCCCTAAACCCTGTATTAATCTCTCACTACACTGATACATGTATGACCCAACCCCTAAACCCTGTATTAATCTCTCACTACACTGATACATGTATGACCCAACCCCTAAACCCTGTATTAATCTCTCACTACACTGATACATGTATGACCCAACCCCTAAACCCTGTATTAATCTCTCACTACACTGATACATGTATGACCCAACCCCTAAACCCTGTATTAACCAACCTCCCCAGCCACAACCCCCCTGTCCCTATTTACCCCGGGGACGAGCTGCGAACGACCTGTGCCTACAGCTCCCTCACCTCCAAGAACAATGTCACCTACGGCAGGGGGACGGCGGACGAGATGTGCTACGGTTTTTTGATCATGTACCCCAGGGACGCCATTAGGAGTAAAATTTGTTTTTACACAGTTGTTGATAGTATCGTCTATGCCGTCCTTTGTTTCGTTTTTCTTTCAGTTTTCAACTTTTGAATTCGTGTTTTTTTTTCTTATCTAAGCCTATATGTTTTGAATTTTTATTTATAAAGTTTTTTTTTTTTTTGTTTCCACCTTTTGCTATAAGATCAGACCTTCTTTCATGTATGTCATGGGGGGGGGTGAAGAACGTCTGCCACCACACATTTATTTCCATTCCAGTATTTAATTAATCTTACCGCGGGAATATTTTTTTTTTAAAAACCTGTATTTCAGCACGCAATCCTAGCTGCATCAGTTCCGGAAACCTCTCACAATGCCAGCGGCCCCTCGACGGATGTCCGTTGTTCGAATTTGGTAATGGTACCGATCCCACCGCCCAGACCATTTTCACCAACCTGACCGACCACTGCATCAATGACAGCGTTTGCAGGTAACTAGATTTGTAAACTTTTTCCTTTCTTCATCGTGAAGAGTTTCACATCCATGTTAGATATATGTAGTAAATATTTTAACCAGCAATTTGTTAAGTGGCTGTGTAGATATTTCCTAACACAGCAATAAAACTTTGATGCTAACAATTTCTTATCATTGAGGCTCCATTATTGTTGGAGGTAAATACAATATTCACACAACGTATGTTCAGTTATGATCACGTTGCATTTGGTATTTTTTCTAAAGTAAAAACATAACACGCGGTGTGTAGAAAAGTCCATTGTTGTAGTCAATGTGGTCGAGGCTAACCCACCCTAACCCCACCCTAACCCCATCCTAACCCCACCCTAACCCCATCCTAACCTCACCCTTACCCCACCCTAACCCACCTAACCCAACCTAACCCCACACCGTGGTCACCCAACATGACATTTGTCTAACGTATAATGACAACTTTTGGTGACACAAACTTGTGTCATTTTCAATTGCTTCAGATTCAAAATTGTAAATATAAAATAAAATCAACTTTAATTTTTCGGGCAGCTCCCTTTCTCCTTGTCACTTCTACGCCACTTCAGTTTGTCCTGTTTCTAAAAGCTTTGAACTAACTCCTTGTCGCACCCCCCCCCTCCAACTTCACCCCGCCTCTCCTTAAGCCCTGACTCCCTGACTGAGAGAGTGTCTCCCCCCCTCCCCCTCCAACTTCACCCCGCCTCTCCTTAAGCCCTGACTTCCTGACTGAGAGAGTGTCGCACCCCCCCCTCCAACTTCACCCCGCCTCTCCTTAAGCCCTGACTTCCTGACTGAGAGAGTGTCGCACCCCCCCCCCCTCCAACTTCACCCCGCCTCTCCTTAAGCCCTGACTCCCTGACTGAGAGAGTGTCGCACCCCCCCCCTCCAACTTTACCCCGCCTCTCCTTAAGCCCTGACTCCCTGACTGAGAGTGTCGCACCCCTCCCCCCTCCAACTTTACCCCGCCTCTCCTTAAGCCCTGACTCCCTGACTGAGAGTGTCGCACCCCTCCCCCCTCCAACTTTACCTTGCCTCTCCTTAAGCCCTGACTCCCTGACTGAGAGAGTGTAGCACCCCGCCCCCCTCCAACTTCACCCCGCCTCTCCTTAAGCCCTGACTCCCTGACTGAGAGAGTGTCGCACCCCCCCCCCTCCAACTTTACCCCGCCTCTCCTTAAGCCCTGACTCCCTGACTGAGAGTGTCGCACCCCTCCCCCCTCCAACTTTACCCCGCCTCTCCTTAAGCCCTGACTCCTGACTGAGAGTGTCGCACCCCTCCCCCCTCCAACTTTACCCCGCCTCTCCTTAAGCCCTGACTCCCTGACTGAGAGTGTCGCACCCCTCCCCCCTCCAACTTTACCCCGCCTCTCCTTAAGCCCTGACTCCCTGACTGAGAGTGTCGCACCCCTCCCCCCTCCAACTTTACCCCGCCTCTCCTTAAGCCCTGACTCCCTGACTGAGAGTGTCGCACCCCTCCCCCCTCCAACTTTACCCCGCCTCTCCTTAAGCCCTGACTTCCTGACTGAGAGTGTCGCACCCCTCCCCCCTCCAACTTTACCCCGCCTCTCCTTAAGCCCTGACTCCCTGACTGAGAGTGTCGCACCCCTCCCCCCTCCAACTTTACCCCGCCTCTCCTTAAGCCCTGACTCCCTGACTGAGAGTGTCGCACCCCTCCCCCCTCCAACTTTACCTTGCCTCTCCTTAAGCCCTGACTTCCTGACTGAGAGTGTCGCACCCCTCCCCCCTCCAACTTTACCCCGCCTCTCCTTAAGCCCTGACTCCCTGACTGAGAGAGTATCGCACCCCCCCTCCCTCCAACTTCACCCCGCCTCTCCTTAAGCCCTGACTCCCTGACTGAGAGAGTATCGCACCCCCCCTCCCTCCAACTTCACCCCGCCTCTCCTTAAGCCCTGACTCCCTGACTGAGAGAGTATCGCACCCCCCCTCCCTCCAACTTCACCCCGCCTCTCCTTAAGCCCTGACTCCCTGACTGAGAGAGTGTGTGTCTCTCCCCAGACCAGAATGCCGGAAGCTTGTGGACGACCTCAAGACACGCCCATGTTTCCAGGGGGAGCCACTGGAGCTGCTGCCACTTTACCTGGCTAAGACCGAGTGGGGCCGGGAGTTCCTGACCCGTCTGGGATCCTATCTGAAAAGCGACCCCCGGGACAGACCCTGCACCAGAGGTGCCGCTATACGAAACGCCCCTGAATTTGTGATCCTTGCAACAGCTGTCATTGCTTATGTTATGAATCTTGTAAAAGTTGATCTGCTGTGGTGAATCTTCTAGAGGTTGATGAATAAAAGATGTCATAGGGTTCATCCATAAATGACGTCACGCTTTTTTGGACGATTTTTACCTCCCCCTTCTCCTTCGTCACACTTCGTCACAAAAAGTCAGACCCCCCCCCCCCCTAAAATGACGTCACACCTCAGTCTACAACCCCCCTCAAAATCGCTGTTGAATTTTTCTTAAAACATCGATATTTTTCCAAAATCTTGTCAGAACTCCGTCAATATAGGAGTATTTTGATCAGTTCCTATTACAATTTATTAAAACAGTTTTCTAAAACACGAAATAACGTTTAAAATTCTTTTTCTAACATTGCTTTTTTATAATGAAAAAGTGTGACGTCGCACTATCTGAACCTCCCCTCCCCCTCATCACACAACGTCACAAAATTACGGACCCCCCCCCATCCCCCTACGAATGTGACGTCATTTATGGACGACCCCTTACTTCTGTGATGAAACTTCTTAATGTTGATCAGAAAGAAAGTGATAAAATAATGACAAACTGTTTTGAATATTTTAAATTAATCTACTTTGTGCCTTTTATGCCAAATGCCATATCATATGCCTTATGCCTCATACTAAATGCCTTTTGCCTTCTGCCTTTTTCCATATGCCTTTTGCTTTATGCCTTGTGCCCTATGTTTGTCTTATGTCTTGTATCTGTCATTTGTTAGTCTTACAAATGTCTTTAATTGTTGAGTTTCTATTGTCACATGTATGTAGAATGTATAAATTTGATACGTGATTTGGTCCGATTTGAAAAAAAAATTATATGGAGCCCTCTCACACACATTGGTCAGATTTATTCATTTTTTAAAACTATTTTTTATTTAAAATCCTTTAAAACATCAGTTGACAGATAGCTTGTTTTAATTAATTATTTATTTAAATATTACCTAACTTAAAAAAAATCAATTATTTAATTGTTTGAAAACTCTTTTACTTTATCTTTAAAATATTTTTTTTAACTGATAGCTTTTCTTACCTGAATTCTTTAAAACTTTCAACCCACATTTATTTATTTTTATCTTATTGTTTGAAAACCATCTTTACATAAATTGTTTAAATTTTGAGTTAGGATATAACTTATCAAATTCATGTGTATTGTTTCAAAGAAGTTGTGATTTTTTTTATATATTCCAAAGTATTAGTTACTTCTGGCTTTTTGTTCTGAGTTTTGTTTTCCAAGTTTTTGCTAGAAATTACAACTTGTTGTTTTGTAACTCACATTTTTAAACTTTTACTGCTTTCGTAAAAATCTGGCTTTTATATGCTTTTTTTTTTTTAAATTAAGAATTTTTATAACAAATTAAGGCATTCTTAGGACATTCTTAAATTATAGTTCATTGAGTAATGTAATATATTTTAAAGTATTAGTTTATCAACTTTAAGTTTTAATTGTAAAAAATGAAAGGTTTTGATGTAATTATGTTGAAAATATTTTTATTATCTAACTTACACTGTTTGCATTTGTGATCACTTATACAGATATACCAAATATAGCTGATTTTGAATTAAATTTTAATGCCTCACCATGTCTTATTGTTCTAAATTGCGTGTTGGAATGTTTGCAAGAATAGAAAAATGGCGTATGAATGAGTATGGAGGAGGGAGGGACTATGCATCTCAGTGGTGGGGGGGGGGGGGGGGTCAGTTGTTGTAGAAAGCAATACGGGCCCCTAGGGAGGGCAGAGTATTTAAGCCCTGACGAAAACTTACGTGGCCGATTAGGTGTTTCTTTCAGACTTTTTTCTGCCCCAAAATATGGAAGAAGATTGTGAATTCATTGTTTATTGGGCATAAAATATATTTTATGAATGGTATAAAATCTAAGTAAAGTAAAGTTTCCCTTTCAAACCTGACGGTCTATGGGGCAAGTGAAGTAGAGTTCACTTGTTTCTGTGACCTCGGCATATGAAGAGATAGTGTAGTCAGCACTATGCCCAGCCGCCTTTACTCTCCCTAACGTGAGTTAGGTACCCATCAGAGTTGGGTGGACTCAGGGACGGTCTACTGACTTGAACCCGGATTCGAACTCGAGACTAACGGGTTAGTAGTCCAGCTCTCTACCGCTAGACCACTCCGTCCCATGGTATAAAATCTACGAAGGGGTTAATTTTTCAAGATGGCCGCCGTTGTAATAGTTACCAAGATTTTTTCACCAATTTTTTTTAGTGGAAATGCATATGCGGATATATATAAAGAAATAACTGTTTTCTAACGAGTATTAAATTTTTTTTTATCGGGGCCTTCCCCCTTAAGTCACGCCTACACTCAGGTGACGTCTAAAAAAAAAACAATAGTCTCGTGATGACGTCACTGTATGGTGCTAAACATCTTTTGACGAGCTACCCCACGAGTGTTGGCCTAGTTTATTTACCACTGGCGTTCATGCAGTATTCACAATTACAGTCAGTGGCGTAGCGAGGTCGGGTGTCACCCACCCCCCAGAGGCGTAGCCACCCTTCCCGGGGACAAACTTTTCGATTTTCGATTTGCACCCCCCCCCCCCTCAAACTTTCGATTTGCACCTCTTAAACCACTATTTAACACTCAAATTAATCACTTAATTAAGTGGAATTATCATTTATCTCTATATATTTTGCTATTTTTGCCTTGGTGTCACCCCCCTAAATGATGTCACATTATTGTGAATGGTCCACATTCCCCCCCCCCCCACCCCACCCCCTCGCTACGCCTCTGATTACAGTTTGATTTTTTTTGTAAAAAGATTAGCACTTAGAATATTAATTTAATACAGCTCATTGTTTAACATTCCGGCAAACACGCTCTTAAACACACATAGTCTCTCTCACACACACACTCACACAGACACTCTCTCATACACATAGTCTCTATCACACACCTACTCTCACACACGTAATCGCACGCACACACACTCTCACACACATTCTCTCACACATATAGTCTCTCTCTCACACACACACTCTCTCACATACAAACTCTCACACAAATTCTCTCTCACACAGTCTCTCTGACACATTCAAACACACTCTTTCACCAACACACTCACAAACAGACACACACTCACTCACACACATTCTCTCACTCACACACTCTCACACGCATTCTCTCACACATACACTCTCACGCACACATTTTTACACACACACATTTTTACACACACACATTCACACAAACACACACACACACAGTCATTCTTTTTTACTTTCTCGTATATACGAAGTATAGAGAAAGTCTTGTAATCGTGCAAAAAAAAAAATCGAGATTTTTACAAATCTCGACGTTTTACACCTCACTGATACGGAAAAACATAATTTTGCAATCTTGTCCGTATGTCTGTGTGTCTGTCTGTCTGTCTGTGTGTGTGTCCGTGTGTAAATATACGAAGTATAGAGAAAGTCTTGTAATCGTGCAAAAAAAAAATCGAGATTTTTACAAATCTCGACGTTTTACACCTCAATGATACGGAAAAACATAATTTTGCAATCTTGTCCGTATGTCTGTGTGTGTGTCCGTGTGTAAACACGATAACTTGAGTACCGTCACAGCTAGATTGATGAAACTTCATATATAAGTATTTTATCAAAATCGTAGATCCGTATCAACTTTTGAGCAATTTCCGATAACCGGAAGTGGTACTTTTCCTACTTTGAATTTTTCAAAAGCCTATAACTTGAGTACTATTTCAGATAGATAAATGAAATTTCACATTTAAGTAAAAGATCTAATTCTCTACCTTCTGTTAAATTTTGAGTAATTTCCGTTGACCGGAAGTAGTAATTTACGCTACTTCCGATTTCTCAAAAACTAATGTAAATTTTTAAAGTATTAATAATATTGCGCACTATTATGCACTTTTTATTTGGCGTTCACTTAGTGTGCAATTAATTTGTCTACGAGATTTTATTCTATTTTTAAAATTTTAAGTATTTAAAATGGATTAAAAATCATGTCTATAGCCCGAGTTCCCATCCCCTGTTATTTTATATAAGAATATTCGAGAAAGTTTAGGGGAGATTACTCCCGGTTTATTTAAAATATAAAGTTTCCAAAAATGTATTACAATCAATATTTCGGTAACACATTTCATTAACTTAGACTGAAATATTTCTTAATTATTGTTTTTATTGAATGTCTTTAGAATCATGAGATTGCCAATCTGACTCCCGATGCTTTCGTTCGTTCTCTCAAATGTACACATATGTTTTAAAAAATAATTTTATACACTTATTTTGTTTTCGATCAAAATAGAAGAAAAATCTTAATCATGTAATCTTTTACCTTAAAAAAAAAGTTAATTATTTGTTTTTTTCAAATATATCTAGTCTATTATTCATCACAAAATGTGATTTTCGATTCAGTTTATTTTTTAGCTCTAATGCCTGTCAGATTATCGATAAAATGTATTAGTGCATCTATTCTATTTTTAGCTCTTAAGTAATTCCCGTTTATCAGCATTGAAAGATAAACATAAACAAAAACACCAGCAGTACAATAAAATCACTCATGACAACAATTGCTCCATTCTTTCCAAACTCTTCGCCTTCGACGCCGTTGCTGTGCATAGTGTGGTTGTGGTCGGTGTCGTTGAAGTTGTTGCCGATGTTGTAGACCTGAGACGGGCAGACGTCGGTGCAGGTGCATGCCATTGGACACGAATGCAGACGACCGACGAACATCAACCCAGCTGTCTTCTGCTGCAGCAGGTACTGCACGACTTTAGAGGCCTCGCCCCGCAGACACGGGTGGCTGAGCAGACGGCTGGTCACCTCCTGACATTCAGGCCTGGATAGACAATAGAAGGCCCTTTGTTACAGAACGTATAATTAAAAAATCTTAAAACTTTAATCTTCACTCAAAGACCTTATAGTCTTTAGTTATTGGTATTTTAACCTTTATTTTAACCCTATAATATTTAGTAAGGGGACCTTTAACCTTTAGTCAAAGACATGACAACTTTTATGTACTGCCATAGTGACCTTAAGTTTATGACGTCAAAACCATGCATACTTTTAAAATCTAAAAAATGTAATCAGAGACCTATGGGCCCTCATTTAACACCCATTTAGAGTGTCAACGCTCTCACATTCGAGATGTTGTTTCTGTTTAAATTGATGCAATTGTATACATATTTTTTTAACAAACTTTGAAAAAACAAATTTAAGCTGAGCATTTCAAAATTATTTTTTTTAATAAAAATTGGGAGTTGGTCAACAATAGGCTTGAAAAGTTTATGTAATCATAATAAATTAAAAAAAAAATATTTTTAAAAATTTGGCAAGCGATTAAAATATAGTTACATTTTTAAATTTTTTGTGCATTGAATATAAGCCGTTAAAAAGCCGTTATGAATTATATTATCATTACAAATATTTTTAGAAACCTCAAATTCTCCTTGAAGTTAACCGGAGTGGCCAGGAAAGTGAAATAATAAAAGTCGCAACAATTGTTTACCATGATAAAATACACAATAGCGGTCAATGGGGTAAAGCCTAGTAGTTTTTTTATATTAAATAATAAAACATCCCATGTCATCAAATACCCTTACTCTACTAATCCAAATTAAAAATAAAAGTGTTAGCTAAATTACTATTTTATTATTAGTAACTATTTGTTTGAATATTTCTAGCTTTAATAAAACCGAAAGTAATTTTGTACTTATATGTCAAATGTAATAAGATATTCAATTTTGGTTGAAAAATTTGCTTTCTGGCAACACAAATTCGAAACCAACTTTTCAAGCCTATTGTTGCTTCACCGCAGATTTAATCGAGTCAATCATGATTGTATTTGTTGGGTTACCTGCTGAATTAATCGAGTCAATCATGATTGTTTTTGTTGGATTACCTGATGAATTAATCGAGTCAATCATGATTGTTTTTGTTGGATTACCTGCTGAATTAATCGAGTCAATCATGATTGTTTTTGTTGGATTACCTGCTGAATTAATCGAGGCAATCATGATTGTTTTTACAAGCTTTTATTTAACTCACTTCCTCGTCAGTCGTCAGTCTGTCTGTCTAGACGGAAACGCAGGAGTGAAATTTCGGACAGTTCTACTTGACCGATACGATTCAAAGTTAGCACGTGGGTCAAGACATGAAGACAATGCAATCTGAAACTAAATTTGACTTAATTGGATGCCTAATTGATTTTTTATGAATTAATTAAAATTTGGACCGAATTAGTAGGCATGTCTAGCCAACCACACCACACGCGTCATCACCTTCAATAGCTGCGCCATCACGTAATGGCTGCGTTCAAAAACCATTGCGCGCCTACTGAACGTGATGTTCAGTAGGCGCGCAATGGTTTTTAGTCATGTAACTCTATTGTAAATAAAACATGTAAAGTACTGAAAAAAAAATGCATAAAAAACGTTTTAATAACAAGCTTTTATGTAATGATGCACTAAAAAGTAGAAAATAAATTATAGACTACTATTTAAATAACTATAAAGAAAAGCGTGGGTGTCTTCCTTAACATTAGTAAAGGTATCCAATAGATACTAAAGTGACCCACGCTTTTCTTTATAGTTATTTAAATAGTAGTCTATAATTTATTTTCTACTTTTTAGTGCATCATTACATAAAAGCTTGTTATTAAAACGTTTTTTATGAATTTTTTTTACAAGCTTTTATTTAACTCACTTCCTCGTCAGTCGACAGTCTGTCTGTCTAGACGGAAACGCAGGAGTGAAAATTCGGACAGTTCTACTTGACCGACACGATTCACAGTTGGCACGTGGGTCAAGACATGAAGACAATGCAATCTGAAACTAAATTTGACTTAATTGGATGCCTAATTGATTTTTTATGAATTAATTAAAATTTGGACCGAATTAGTAGGCATGTCTAGCCAACCACACCACACGCGTCATCAATAGCTGCGCCATCACGACCACGTAATGGCTGCGTTCAAAAACCATTGCGCGCCTACTGAACGTGATATTCAGCAGGCGCGCAATGGTTTTTAGTCATGTAACTCTATTGTAGATAAAACATGTAAAGTACCTAAAAAAAAATTCATAAAAAACGTTTTAATAACAAGCTTTTATGTAATGATGCACTAAAAAGTAGAAAATAAATTATAGACTACTATTTAAATAACTATAAAGAAAAGCGTGGGTGTCTTCCATAACATTAGTAAAGGTATCCAATAGATACTAAAGTGACCCACGCTTTTCTTTATAGTTATTTAAATAGTAGTCTATAATTTATTTTCTACTTTTTAGTGCATCATTACATAAAAGCTTGTTATTAAAACGTTTTTTATGAATTTTTTGTTGGATTACCTGCTGAATTAATCGAGTCAATCATGATTGTTTTTGTTGGATTACCTGATGAATTAATCGAGTCAATCATGATTGTTTTTGTTGGATTACCTGATGAATTAATCGAGTCAATCATGATTGTTTTTGTTGGATTACCTGATGAATTAATCGAGTCAATCATGATTGTTTTTGTTGGATTACCTGATGAATTAATCGAGTCAATCATGATTGTTTTTGTTGGATTACCTGATGAATTAATCGAGTCAATCATGATTGTTTTTGTTGGATTACCTGATGAATTAATCGAGTCAATCATGATTGTTTTTGTTGGATTACCTGATGAATTAATCGAGTCAATCATGATTGTTTTTGTTGGATTACCTGATGAATTAATCGAGTCAATCATGATTGTTTTTGTTGCATTACCTGCTGAATTAATCGAGTCAATCATGATTGTTTTTGTTGGATTACCTGATGAATTAATCGAGTCAATCATGATTGTTTTTGTTGCATTACCTGCTGAATTAATCGAGTCAATCATGATTGTTTTTGTTGGATTACCTGATGAATTAATCGAGTCAATCATGATTGTTTTTGTTGGATTACCTGCTGAATTAATCGAGTCAATCATGATTGTTTTTGTTGCATTACCTGCTGAATTAATGGAGTCAATCATGATTGTTTTTGTTGCATTACCTGCTGAATTAATGGAGTCAATCATGATTGTTTTTGTTGCATTACCTGCTGAATTAATGGAGTCAATCATGATTGTTTTTGTTGCATTACCTGCTGAATTAATGGAGTCAATCATGATTGTTTTTGTTGCATTACCTGCTGAATTAATGGAGTCAATCATGATTGTTTTTGTTGCATTACCTGCTGAATTAATGGAGTCAATCATGATTGTTTTTGTTGCATTACCTGCTGAATTAATCGAGTCAATCATGATTGTTTTTGTTGCATTACCTGCTGAATTAATCGAGTCAATCATGATTGTTTTTGTTGCATTACCTGCTGAATTAATCGAGTCAATCATGATTGTTTTTGTTGCATTACCTGCTGAATTAATCGAGTCAATCATGATTGTTTTTGTTGCATTACCTGCAAAACCCGTTCAGACTGCAGCTCTTCTCCAGCTCCGCCGCCATCTTGATTGTCTCTGGGTTCGTAAGGTTCGTGAACTGTGACACGTGACAGTCACCAATTTTAGTCGTGCCGGAAGTGACGTCACATGCAGACAATGAGCCGATGGCGTCACATTTATCTGGGGGGGAATATAAAAAGTATAAAAGTTCCATCCAAACAGTGTTTGGTCCAGACTTTTTCTCCGGGCGGGGGGGGGGGGGGGACTATATATTTTCAAGGGGGGGGGACTATATTTTCCGAGGCGGGAGGGTGGACACAAGTAAACGTATATATTTTCTATTTAATTCCATTTAGTTCGGTGGAGGGGGGGGGGGCGCTTTAGACTTTCTTGCTCCCCCCCCCCCCCCAAAGAGATGATTGGAAGAAACTCTTCATCCAAACCCAACCCCTATAAGATTCGTGTTTGTGGGTGCCTGTTTTAAAGGGCCGAATAGGATGTAGCCCAGGGGTCGGCAACCTTTTTTGAGCGGGAAGAGCCAAAAGTTACAATTTACATAAGTTCCCAGTTTTTAAAGAGCCACTAACATGTTTATTTCAATATTTTGGCATTTGATTAGGATTAGATATATACTTTTTTTATTTTGATTTGAGATAAATAGCTTTAAATATGAAAGAATATTTATAATTAAAAAGCATTACTAATATTTCGCACTAAGCATATTAAAGTATTTCACCTAGCTCTGCTATGATAAAATTAGTAATCAAATAATATAACTATACGACTATCCCAAATCCAATTTAGGAGCCAATAACTTTTTTTTTCTTTACGGACATCACAGGCTCAGGAGGTGTCTCCGCATAGCCAAGCAACCCTAAACACGGTCAACTCCGACTACTGGCTTGGGTAACGGTCGCTTCTGTCTTCGGTTCTCACCAGGCTTATCTTTCTACCCACTGAACGCAGGGTAAACTCGAACCCCACTGTAGGAAGCTAATAAATTTTAAAAAAGCACACGTCACTTAGGTCAAATTTATGCATACTGACCGATAGAGGAATGCACTCTGAATAAGAATAATATTCCTCATGTAACGATTTTAAAAAAAGTCGGCAGTAGCAAGAATGGAACCTTCGCCACGGGGCTGGCTACAGCACTGTTGTGGGTCTGGTGCCCAAGCGGCTGTCAGATGTCCGTATCCTTTCTGCCTCCCCTACTCTCATTGTTCTCTGATGAGTGTTTGTATCCTTTTTAAAGTTGTTTTTCTTTATAATAATTTTAATGCGTTTTGAAAATAATATAAAATGATTATTAATATTTGTGCATGAAACTGAAGACCCGTATCTTCACATCTAAAGAGCCGCATGCGGCTGGCGAACCGCAGGTTGCCGACCCCTTGTATTTATACTACTCATTTATTATTTGTATGTTACCCTACAGAGTAGGGCTTGAAAAATAGTCTTTTAGACTCATTAGTATGCTCCTCTCCACGGAAATCTTTAGTTTTTTTTTTTTTTTTTTTTTTTTTTTTTTTTATAAAAGTTTATTTCTGAAAATATTTACATCAACATCAGCATAACATTGTACACATATTTGTTATACAAGGACATCAGTTGCATACATTTCTACAAAAACGTGGACTTCAACATTCACACATATTTGTTCATACTCTCACAAAAAATTGTCTTTAGAATTTTGTTGGTAAATATTTTCTTGTCATACTTCGCCTTGTTTCTTGCTTGCCAGATAGTTTGTCTGTATGTCGCTAAGGCATAAATGTTTTTGTCTCTCTCTGCAGCCACGGGCTTTTTGGGTACTTTATTTAGAGTTATCGCCTCTTCGATAGTCAGGGCTTTATTATCTACCTTGATTTCTTCTTCTAGCGCCCGTTTCGCCATCTGTATTGTGGGGCATGTTAGGAATAAATGGGTTTCAGTCTCTCTGATATCTTGTCCACACAGTACACAACCTGTGTTTCTCTTCTTGTTAGCTGGCATTATTTGGTAGATCGGAGTCAAATTGAAGATTAGTCTGTATGTGATCTCCCTAGCTTTAGGTGTGATGGATTTCCTATGAAGATTTCTAAAAGTCTCTGTTGTGTCTATATCGCTGTATATTTTGCACCATTGGATTCTGTTATGTAGTGGAGTGGCTAGTTTCTTTATCAGATGTGAGTAGGTCTTCCGTGTGTTTTCGTGTATGAATTTTTCGTTCCCTTTCAGGCTGGTTAGACATTCAATGTAGAAAGCGCTTAATTTTTCTCTTCCGAAATGCGGCGTGCTATTATTATGTTTGAGTATTTTGTTCAGTTTAAGTCCTAAATAGTAATGTGCTAGCGGGTGATTTGGGGGGTCACTGACTATTCTGCCGACTTAGTAAAAGGCGAAAGATTTACGCGTTGTGAAGAGAAACCAGAGTTACTGAAAAAGGCATTGATAACGAACACTACGATTAACAGTTCATAGAAAAATATAGTTTTATAAAAATGAATGTACTCTTCTACTAAATATAATTTTGTAAATAATACATATTTATGACTTGTAAATTTTATTAAACAATATTTTTATTCTAAAACATAATTTGTTGTGATCATATTCCAACACATTTGTATAAAACTTTTATTTTAAAACTTTATTAAAATACTATTGGGTTATGTCCCTTGAATAATCTCCCTGCTTATTTTAACATGAAGTTGTGTGGATGAATGCTAGACAATTTATCTTTTAAACATTTATAAATCGAACGAATAATTTAAAATATAAAAAAATCTTTTCATTCTATTGACCTTTGGATTATTAATAATATATATAGACTATTATAGATTCAAGTTACATTTTAAAAGACGTTTTAATAAAGAAACCGTTTTAATTGAAGTATCTACTTATTCAAATCATTTTGAGCAACGAATTTTGTCTACTAGCCTTTACCATTGGCTACACTGTAGCCCATTGGGGGATTATATTGTTAACCCGAACCTGTGTGTGTTGCTGTGGATGTGCGCATGCGTGCTAATCTGCGTGTGTGTGCGCGTGTGTATGTAAGTACGCAAAACGTGTGAACATAATGAAGTAAAATGAAAAGCTAGAATTCTTTTATTTAAACTAAACATTTTTGATTGGAGGAATTTCAACTTGGGTAGCGTTCATCGACGACGTCACGCTAAAATAAGTGGGGAGGAGGTTCATTAATTTGTGACGATGCGTGACTGAAGGGGGGGGGGTCGATTTAGAATGTATGACAAAACACTATTGAATTTTTTTTTAAGTAATGTTAGAAACTAAACTTTAGCCGTTATTTCGCGGTTTTTCTTAAACTGTTTTAGTAAATTGCAACAGAAACTGATTAATATACACACCAAATGGATGTTTTAAAAAAATGCAGACTGCAAATTTGAGGGAGATTGTAGGCTGAGGTGTGACGTCATTTCAGAGTGGGGGGGGGGGGGTCTGGCTTTTTGTAACGATGGGGCGGAAGGTAAAAATCGTAAAAAAAAAGTCATTTATTGTAGAATTTCCCCCCCCCCCTCCCGCCCAGGTGAATTTTTTTTTAAATAAAAAAAAAACAGAAATAAAAACCGAGTCCGCTGGAAATGTGTGGTTGCAGCGCTCTGTTCCCCAGGGGCCACAAAGGAATGATGATGATGATGATGATGATGATGATGATGATGATGATGATGATGATGATGATGATGATGATGATGATGATAATGATGATGATGAGGAGGATGATGATGATGATGATGATGATGATGATGATGATGATGATGATGATGATGATGATGATGATGATGATGATGATGATGATGATGATGATGATAAATAAAAACAAGTAGTTACTTGAAGAGCTCAGGGCCTCCCGGGGGTAGAGCGTCAGATAGGCAGAGCACCCGTCTTCTGCGCTGGGCTGGTTGTAGAACCTCCACGTGCTGGCACCGGAAGTATTGAAGGTACACGTCGTTACCAGACGATCTCCGGGCAGGATCCGAACGTGGGGCTGGAGGCTGTGGGTTATAGAGTTGTCGGGCATGTTGGTTATAGTGTACATAGTGTTGCTGGTCATGTCGCTGATAGTGTACATAAAGTTGTCGGGCATGTCGCTGATAGTGTACATAGAGTTACCGGTCATGTCGGTTATAGTGTACAAAGAGTTGCTGGTCATGTGGCTGATAGTGTACATAGAGTTACAGGTCATGTCGCTGATAGTGTACATAGAGTTGTCGGTTATAGAGTTGCTGGTCATGTCGCTGATAGTGTACAAAGAGTTGTCGGTCATGTCGCTGATAGTGTACATGAGTTGGCGGTCATGTCGCTGATAGTGTACAAAGAGTTGCCGTCTCTTGTTTTAAATTTACAAAATTTACAATCTAGGGGGTATTAATTCAAATTCTAACGACATCGCTACTAGAAGAGACGAGTGTAGATTTAACATTATCTTCAATAACAAATTAGTTCTCATATTAGCCAATTGTGACAGGTTCGTCTGTTTATTCAGGGAACTCTTTCATTTTGTTTTTTGGAAATTGTCCGAAATACCGATAGTCCAAGCGGCCGATAACCATTAAGGCCGACAGTTCTACCCAAAATAATCCTAAAAACTGAAGGTTCTAAAAAAAACCTATAGCACAAAATTTAAATTTAAATACGTTTACAACGTTTTACATAGTAATGTTCAAGAAATACCCCTCTCGTCACATAACCATTACAAAACCAGGTATGTCAAAAAAAAACAGAGAAGAACTAACAGGTGTTTTGAAGGGCAGTCATCATTGTAAGCTTTATCCCAACTTAAGTCCTGAACCTTTGACCCGTTTCTGTATAAGGCGACATTGATAGCTTGTCCTGTAATATAGAACAAGTATGTCTAAAATTATTTGGAGCCATTGATAGGGTAGGGAACTTATTGCATCTAGCGTAAGTTTATATATATATATATATATATATATATATATATATATATATATATATATATATATATATATATATATATATGTATATATATACTTTAGACACGAACTTACCAAAGTAGTTCATTTTGTGTTGTACACTGACGATGTTGGCCGGTTTAGAAAACAATTGTGACGTGCATGATTCCGGACAGACGCCGACATATTGGGACGTGTCCTTACCTGGGAGGCAGACACTGTACAGTTATATATGGCGGTGTGGGGTTGTTTAATGTTTAAAATAAATTGTGAGCGAGCGAGCCAACCAGCCAGCCAGCCAGCCAGCCAGTCAGCCAGCCAGTCAGCCAGCCAGCCAGAAAGCCAGCCAGCCAGCCAGAAAGCCAGCCAGCCAGCCAGAAAGCCAGCCAGCCAGCCAGAAAGCCAGCCAGCCAGAAAGCCAGCCAGCCAGAAAGCCAGCCAGCCAGCCAAAAAGCCAGCCAGCCAGCCAGAAAGCCAGCCAGCCAGCCAGAAAGCTAGCCAGCCAGCCAGAAAGCCAGCCAGCCAGCCAGCCAGCCAGAAAGCCAGCCAGCCAGCCAGAAAGCCAGCCAGCCAGAAAGCCAGCCAGCCAGCCAGCCAGCCAGTCAGCCAGCCAGCCAGCCAGCCAGCCAGTCAGCCAGCCAGCCAGCTAGAAAGCCAGCCAGCTAGCCAGCCAGCCAGCCAGAAAGCCAGCCACCCAGCCAGAAAGCCAGCCAGCCAGCCAAAAAGCCAGCCAGAAAGCCAGCCAGTCAGTCAGTGGGTCGGTCGGTCAGTCATTCAGTCAGTCAGTCAGTCAGTCAGTTAGTCGGTTAGTCAGTCAGTGCGTGAGTGAGTGAGTGAAACAAAACAAAACCCAAACCAACCTGGACCCAGATCTAACAATTTCTGACCGGTGCTGACAACGGCGAGATTTGTAACGTTGTCTTTGATTGGTCGGTAGTGAAGCCGCAAGCCGCTGTTGTCTGTCGTGTTAGCGGTGAGCTGTGGGTTCTTGTAATGGACCTGGATTGGGGAGGGGGTGGGGGAAGGGGAGTCATTTAGACAAGACACTGACCAGAGAAACTTGGACTAAGATCTGCAGTTTAAAATAACACAAAAATTGTTTCATTTCTTGGTAATTCTTAGTTTATAAATAAGGCAGTTCGATACTTTTACATTCACGATACCGATACCTTTCTGAAACTTAGCCCTAAGTTTATTCCAACCATTAAAACAAAACGTATCGTAAAAAAAATCTTAAATGTTACGTTTAAAATAACATAAGATGGGGGAAATCTGGTCCTTATTCCCTAGCGGAGGGAAGGGGTGGACGAGTGGTAGAGAGCTCGACTGCTAACCGGAAAGTGTCGAGTTCGAATCCGGATTCAAATAAGTAAAACGCCCCTGAGTCCACCCAGCTCTGTTAAGTACCTAGCTCACGTTAGGTTAACAGGGGCGGAAGGGCATAGTGCTGACTACAATAAACACACTGTCCCCTTGTATGCCAAGGTCATTGATACAGATGGACTCTACTTCATCTGCCCCATGTGTCTCGGGCACTAACCGGAAAAGGTTATGACGATTAAACAGGACAGCACTTAGGGAGCTTGTCATCACAGGGATTATAGTGCTCGTCTTTAGTACTTAGCAATGTTTCCCTTAGCTGAAGATTTATCCGGTTACGTAGGCAGGGCCGGCGCTACCTACAAGGCAAACTAGGCGGTCGCATAGGGCGCCATCCCTAGGGGTGCGCAAAATGATTAATCGCTATTATCAAAAATAATAATTAATAACTTTTATAAAGGAGTAGCGATCTATTGGTAAAACCAAGGACGAGCTATAAATTTTGCACCCCCACTCCAAAATTAGGTCTATATAGGCATATATTTATTCGCTATGGTGAAAATGCAACCCCACATCCCTAATTTGGAAAGGTAGGTGCGCTTTTTACCAGTCACTTTGCCTTTTTAATTTGGTGTCAAATAATTGATGTAAAAAACGATTAAATGAGTTCGTAATTTAAATTTCGAATATTTCAAACGGTTATTTAATTTTAATGGTGCTTGTAAGTCTCGTTTTCTCGGACTTTAAATAAAACTCTGTCCAGGTGTACAGAGTTTTGTAATGACGGGGTGTTCAAAGTATTGTCACTTGTTTGGTAAGTTTTGATGAATCGTTTAGATTTGGGAGTAACGGCGGAAGGCTGTTGCTGATATGGTTTCGTAGGTATAAAGTAGTGAAGTGTTAAGTGTCATAGTTTTTATTCGGCTGTTTTGTAGTTGAAGGTCTAGTGGAATCTGATTGGTAATAGAGAAATGATAATGTAGGTGATGAAGTATCGTAGTTCTGGAGTTCGGGAGTATTGATTCTTGTGGTATTAAGGTATCGAATTATATTGACTGTTAAAGTGTAGTGGTAAGCCCAGTGAAATTGTTGTTGATTGGGAGTATCGTTTGTAGAGCTTGGTGTAGTTGTTGAGTTGGTGTCGTGTTTCTGGAGCATCGAGTCTAGTTATGTTTAGGTATCGAAGTTTGATGTGTTGTGAATGTAGTAGAGTATATCGAGTAGTTGAGTTTATCGTAAGTTAGATGATTTCATTTCAGTACGGAACACACTGCAAAGAAAGGTAGGCGTTCTCTAGTTGAAAAATCTTTCGTTTTTTAGGAATCTATATTACCACTCTTAAAATTTTAATATATAAGATGGAATTTATGACTAACCGTTAACTTTGTTGTTTTTTTTTTCAAATTATAATATTTTATAGTTAACAATTCTAGCAATGTCTAAAACAGTTGCCCGTGTTTCATTTATTTGGGAAAGGCGTCCCTTTATTCAGGGGATCCAAAATTATATTTCATTTACTATCTAGATATAGCGGCGATGATAATTGAATGTCATCGAAATTGAATGGAAGTATATTGTAATAAAGCTACCGGTTTTAGACTTTCAAACAAAACCTATAGTTAAGTATTCAATAAGTAACATTTTTTTCCCACACGGTTATATAGCTAATGTAAAATATTTGATGCAATGATTACGTAATGAAATTTAGAGTGTTTTATTCTGAATTACAAGCATGTCTTAATTACACTTAGCTATTCTTGTGAGTTATTTCCCTTGAAAAAAAAAGATTTTTATTTGGATTTTAAATGGGAGTTAATTCGTTGCTTAGCTTTACATTTTTTTTCAAATTCCTGCTCCTTAGGTTGACAGCTTACAAATAAATACAACTTTAAGTTATTATTTGCTATTGTAAGAATTATATAGAGCTTAAGATCTAAACAAAATAGTTTGGTAGGTTTTTTTTAGCACTATCAAGTTGAAAGACAAATACATCAGTGGCCGTTATAGATTGCAATACTTAATGTTAGTAGACATATAGTCGTAAATTAAACATCCAATTGATTGTCTTTTCATATTTTTCACCCACTCCTAAAGGATTCATGTATAACAATTTTAGGCTGGAATCTATATTATTTATAACATTTAATTTTTCAAAAACCAATAAATCGTTACATAATCACACAAAGTAGACATTTTAGCGCAATTTCCATACTGGGGGATTGCGATTATTAACTCGTCATTTCTGGATGGATGGATGGATGGATGTGTGTCCGCAGCTTTAAGTCGTCTTTAAGTCGTATCTCCTCCTCAACGAAGCAATATCGAGGACTAGTTCCAAAAGCAAATATGTTAAGCAAGTTCCGAGGATGAACATAGGCCAAAAAAAATCGGAATTCCTTCCTGGATTTCCCGGAAAAGCCAAAAAACCTCGAAAAAATGCAGTTTTTGGCCCATATCTCGACAACCAGACCACTTAGCGACTTGAAACATTTACCAATCGATTCCTGCCATAATTTAGAACAATATTGCCGAAGAAAGTTTTTAAAAATACCCTTTCGTTCGGTCACAAAAAATTAATTAAGAATTTTTAAACTGAGCATCGTGTAGGTCTAGGATGATATTTTTAATTTAAACTGAGCATCGTGTAGGTTTTTAGCGCAACGCGCTGAGGTTCGAAAGGATTTTACCATAGTGAATGAGCGGAGGTTCGGAAGGATTTTTACGTAGGTCTGTGAATTCTAAAAATTAATTAAGGAAATTGCGCTTAAATTGTCACTAGACTTTTTATTAACTTGTTTAATTATAACTAAAGAAAGTCAAGCTTAAAACAGGTACGTTCCGTTTTAAAACTTACTTTTGGAGGACTGCAGGGAGCCCAACACTACAAGAACTTTTTTTGATTCAGTGGGTTTTTCAGACTTTTCCCTCCGGAAGGGGGGGGGGGGGAGGAGCACTTTAAATTTTGTAAAGGGGGGGGGGGGGGTGAGGGGGGCTATATCGTAAAGTACAAAGTAGACTCGTGCACTTAGCAACAATTTCAATAAAATGTGATTACACTTGCAAACTGGAATTAAAGGAATTAGTACAAACTTTTGAGACGAAGGAGGCAAGTAAAATTAGATTTTGATGTCTACTTATAATGTGTATGCAATTGATAATAAATTAATATGTCACTTTTAATTAATTGTTTTCTTATACATATGTTTTAGTAATTGCATTCTGTGAAAGGGATGTTTTTATAAGTTTTGCCTAGGGCGCTAAATATCCTGGCGCAAGCACTGTACCTAGCAGTGTTTCTTCCAGACTTCTTTTCTCCGGGGGGGGGGGGGGGCACTTGAAATTTTCGGGGATGGGGGCAGTAGACTTTCTTTGGGGGGAGGGGGGCGGACACTGTTAAATGTTTATATTTTCTATATGAATTATAAAAATTTCATTTCGTTCGGGGGGGGGGGGGGGGGGGCGGTAGAATTTTTTTTCGGGGGGGGGGGGGGGGTGCGAACCCGAAGAGATGCCTGGAAGAAACTCTGGTACCTAAGTAACCGACTAACTCACCATCAAAATATCATAATTGACGATGTGGAACTGGCTTAAAATTATAAAAACAAAATAACTATTTGACCGACCTCCATTTTGAGTATCTTGTATCCTGTAGCGCCCAGCACCAGGCCAAAATTCTGACCATAACACTCCGTCTGTTGTCCTACGACCCAGGAAGTGACCAGGGTACCACAGGACTTTAAGGTACCACACGACTGGGCTACGGCAGTCACGGTACTAATGTCTGGGGGTTTAAAAAGATGAATTTTTTTAAGACGAAACAAATTATATATTAAATTTGGAATAAAGTCAGACTATTTTTAAAAATGAGAAGCCTATAATTTAAATTTATATAGTGAATAGGTTATTGGTAGTAAAGTGACATTAAACTCAAACTGTTTTTTTTTTTAATATTAATTTTTAAAATTAAATTAAAAAAAGAGCCACAGAGGTTTTAAGTTTGTGGTTGATCAAGAACTCGGACGGATCAGAACAGATACTAACGCTGCTTTAGTTAGGGCCAGAGGCGTAGCGACCCTTTTCGGCGCCCGGGGACAAACTTTCAATTTAGCGCCCCCTCAAACTTTCGTTTGCACACCCCCCCCCCCCCCTTCAAACTTTTGATTTGCACCCCCCACCCCCACCCCCACCCCCCTCAAACTATTTATAATGCAAAAATCCAGATAAAATGACATTTTAATTTGTTTTTTAACCCATTTTGGCGCCCTCCAAGGTCGGTGCCCGGGGACATATGTACCACCCCCTGCCCCCCCCCCCCCCTCCCCATCGCTACGCTAGATCTAGGTTTTGGGCCAGGACTTGAGTTAAAATTACGATGGCGTCACCAGTTTACGATACAATCCACTGCAATTCGAATCTACCGTTTGATCTAATACTGAACTTTCAGAAAATTTACATTTTAATATTCCAATATGTGTTTAGTAATTTGAATCAAAAATTTATTTTAATATTTAAAGTGTAACCAAAGATTGTTGTTAAGATTGTGTGAGAGAGACTTACCTTCGTCGCAGGCGTAGAGATAAACATTTCAAATGTAACCAAAGATTCTTGTAAGATTCTGTGAGAGAGACTTACCTTCATCACAGGCGTAGAGGTAAGCACGGTGAAACATAGCGTTGTTGTTTACCACGGGTTCAACGGCCGCTAGGTGGTAGCCTTTATCAAAGGTGAGGTTAAAGGTCATACACAGGGTACTGACCTCCATCTGGGGGACGGTCAAGGTCTTCATGGCCAGGGTGATGTTTCGGATACCTGTGGGGTGGGGATAGCAAGCTGTCAGTCAGGGGTTGTACACTTATATAATAAAAATAGAGTAAGGGTTGGTAATCTAGTTAAAATGTGTTTTATAATTTCATTTTCATTGGTTGGTTCTTCAGGCTCGAAAGACGATTGGATGATCCGGCCTTGTAATTCCAGGAACATAGACTTGACAGAGAGGTGATACGAGAAAATGTTGCCCATGTATCAGGTCCCTATCTCCTCACAGCTGATAGGACCAATTGAGATGTTATAAAGATTCGGGTGGTATAAATACTACTCATGTGCTCTTCTTAAAACAACAAAGACTGATAAAATTGACTGCGGAGTCCCCCCGAAGAAAGTCTACCGCCCCCCACCCCCAACGAAATGAAATTTATATAGAAAATGTATATTTTTAACAGTGTCCGCCCCGAGAAGCAAGTCTACCGCCCCCCCCCCCCCCCCCCGAAAATTTCAAGTGCCCCGTGCCCCCCCCCCCTCCGGAGAAAAAAGTCTGGAAGAAACACTGGCCTTGACCTCCACAGCCTTGACCTCTGACATACCTGGTTCACTGAGGACCGCGCATTGATTGCTCACGTAGGCGGTACAGGAAAGAAAGCTGTTCTGAACTTGACATTTATAGCTGTCACGTGGATCACAGACCCCTAAAGAAACATGACAATGACATTTAGATTTAATGATCGCTATATTATGTTAGGTTTGATTATGTTGTGTTATGTTGAGTGCGGTTATGTTATGTTGTATTAGGCAAGTCATGTCCTGTTCTGTCTGGTTATGTTATATATTGTGTTCTAAATTACCTGGCCAATATGCACAAACCACGCGTATGTGCCAGTTAGACACGTCAAGTTACCTGGACAACTTTCTTAATAGCTTACAAAATACGGTTAGGGTAAAGACCTTGGCATCACCTCACAGTAACATTTATTCGTTGTTAATTGTCTAGATTTTACTAAATTCTATGCTAATCACACTGAAATAGAACTATGTCAAGTTAATTACTTAGACGTTTTGGTATGATCTTAACCATATCGCTTCGATATTGCCTGGTCGTTACATTTAATCTACATCAATCACCTACTGATTACCTGGATGTGTGATGTTGCTGCTGATTACCTGGATGTGTGATGTTGGTGCTGCGCTCAGGTACCTGACCAGGTGACCAGACACACCTGGGGTCCCCCAGCTCCTCCCCGTTGGTCCTGCCGTCACCGTCAGAATCTAACGGACACACCTGACCCCACTGGGGAACGACAAAAAGTTTCATCAGACCAAATCAATTTTTTTTTGGCTCAAAAAGTTTCATCAGACCAAATCAAATTGTTTTGGCTCAAAAAGTTTCATCAGACCAAATCAAAATTTTTTGGCTCAAAGGGTTTCATCAGACCAAATCAAATTTTTTTTGGCTCAAAAAGTTTCATCAGACCAAATCAAAATTTTTTGGCTCAAAAAGTTTCATCAGACCAAAATTTTTTGGCTCAAAAAGTTTCATCAGACCAAATCAAATTTTTTTGGCTCAAAAAGTTTCATCAGACCAAATCAAATTTTTTTTGGCTCAAAAAGTTCCATCAGACCAAATCAAATTTTTTTGGCTCAAAAAGTTTCATCAGACCAAAATTTTTTGGCTCAAAAAGTTTCATCAGACCAAATCAATTTTTTTGGCTCAAAAAGTTTCATCAGACCAAATCAAATTTTTTTTGGCTCAAAAAGTTTCAATAGACCAAAATTTTTTGGCTCAAAAAGTTTCATCAGACCAAATCAAACTTTTTTTGGCTCAAAAAGTTTCAATAGACCAAATTTTTTTGGCTCAAAAAGTTTCATCAGACCAAATCAAACTTTTTTTGGCTCAAAAAGTTTCATTAGACTAAATTCTATTTGGCTCAAAAAGTTTCATCAGACCAAATTCTATTTGGCTCAAAAAGTTTCATCAGACCAAATCAAATTTTTTTGGCTCAAAAAGTTTCATTAGACTAAATTCTATTTGGCTCAAAAAGTTTCATCAGACCAAATTCTATTTGGCTCAAAAAGTTTCATCAGACCAAATCAAATTTTTTTGGCTCAAAAAGTTTCATTAGACCAAATTCTATTTGGCTCAAAAAGTTTCATCAGACCAAATTCTATTTGGCTCAAAAAGTTTCATTCATACGAAATTCTTTTGGGCTCATACCAAATTATCTTTGGCGCAAACAGTTTATTTAAAGGAAATAAACATGAATTAGACTTTGATCAAACATACGAGTTGTTTTGGTGAATGTTGTGTGTGTGTGTGTGTGGGGGGGGGGTTGAGCATAATGGTTTCAAAATTATTCTATGGGGACATATATGTTTATATATATAAATATATATACATATACATATATATATATATATATATATATATATATATATATATATATATATATATATATATATATATATACATATATAACATGTGGGGAGAGAGAGAGGTGTGTGTGTTGTGTGTGTTTATGTGTGTGTCTGTGCGTGCGTACGTGCGTGCGTACGAGTGTGTGTGTTTTGTGTGTTTGTGTGTATGTGTGTGTGTTTTGTGTGTTTGTTTGTGTGTGTGTGTCCCTTGGTTTTTTCTCCTTGAGGTGATCTAGTTCAGCGCCAATTCAGAAAATAGAAAGAACTAATGACCTTTGTGACATGACCTTCGTGGCATGGCTTTTGTGGCATAACCTTCATGACATGACCTTTGTTACACGACCTCCCTCACCTGTCCATCCAGACAGGTAAAATATCTACCACCTGCTCACCTCGAACCCGACGGTTTTAAAAGCGGCGCCAAATACGTTGAGGGCGCCTCCCCCACTTGAGTTCTGGTGCCCCACCCCAGGCCAGTAGCCGGACAGGCTGCAGGGGTCTGGCACCAGGTGGCCGTTGGGGATCTTGTCCTGGAGGGTCATGTAGGCGGCACAGGGGTGTAGACTTGACCACAGGGCCAGGCTGTGTGATAGGGGGGGATAAGGATATTCACAGTTCACAAAGTGTTATATACTAAAGTATCGTTTTTAGTATAAGAAGTCTAGACAATAGACATCAAAGCTTAAATCCTGGGTGACATAAAAGTATTACTCTAACGATCCATATGGCAAATGAAGTAGAGTTGATTTGTTTGTCGACCACGGCATATGAAAGTGGGGTCAGCTTATGCCAATCAACTTATACTTTCCCCAAAGTGTGTCAGGTACCAATCAAAGCTGGGTGAACTCAGAGACGCCCAGTACACCGTGCAATCCGAGATACGAACTCGTGTCTTTTAGGTAAGAAGTCGAGAAGTCTACCATTCGACTGCACCGTTCCATCCAGGCAGTGTTTCTTCCAGACTTTTTTCTCCCGGGGGGGGGGGGGGCACTTGATATTTTCAGGGGGGCGGACACTGTTAAAGTATATGTTTCATATATAAACTCCATTTCGTTCGGGGGGGGGGGAAGAGGGGATTGCGGAAGAGATGCCTAGAAGAAACTCTGCATCCAGATGATAGTTCCGATTGGAACTTAATATCTACCTCCTAGCCATAAAATTACAGTAGCTACAAAAACGGCGCTGTTCTACTTTATCTACCTATCAGAAGTATATAATTGAACCGTACAATTTATATCTATTTTTAACCCTGTGTATCAACAAAAACAATGAGTACTCACCTCAATAAAACAATCATTTTCCACGTGTATATAAACTATTCAGCCTTTATAAAAAATATTTTAGACTGTGGTATATTTCAACGTGTAGCCTGTATAAATTGCTCAGGCTAAAAAGATACCTTGCATGTTATATGTACAGTTATCTTAAATCTGTGAACTCCTAAACACACACCATCAAAACATCTAAAACAGCCTGCACATGAACTAAAACATTCCTTGACAACATCCCAGTCTGCTTAGAGTTACCTTTCAAACAATCATTCCCTTATAGCCAACATCCTTTCATAACTTATTCCCTTCGTCATCATGATTAAGACTTTACTTTTCAGATCTCAATTCGCTATTCATAATTTAATAACATATGTCCACAGGTTCTTTTATAATTTTTTCAACTTTTTTTTTCCCGTGTGAGGTTCAATGTCCAAAATTACTTGCGTAAGAAATGTTTTTATTATTCATCTAGTCCCTACCCATTCTGTGAATGTTTTTATTTTTTCTTGTCGCGGTCTTTTCAATTTTGGTGAATGGCGGATGAATACAAAATCGTGCAGTGGGTGATCAACACAAAAAAAAAAGTTCCGCTTATTTTTGTTTCTCATGCTATGGTTGAACACAGGGTTTGCAGTGTTTGGATGAATGGGAATTGTGGACAAATGTTAACCCTTAACCCCTTGAATGAAGTCTATTCAATTTATGTTGATTGTTGTTGAATAAGCGATTTGTTTGTATTTGAAACTCGCATTAAGAAATTTAAAGCGTTAGAGTTTAAAATATGTAACAAAATGTCTGGCTTTGTATGCAGCTGTTCGTAGCATACATACGTAACTATCACACCAAAGTATAGATCAAATGTGACGTGCATTCTAGCCAGATTTTTTGAAGTTTTAAAATTGCTGCCAATTTTATGTGAGCAGCGAATTAGCATTTAGGTCGCTTATGAGATCTCTGCAGTTTAGATAATTAAGTCAGTGGGTAAGTATCAAAACTTGCAATTAGTGATTTTTTTTAATTGCTTTAGTGGAAGTCATAGCTTCTTGAGTTATTTAAAGAGTAATTTCTGCTGTTTGTATGAAAATCAGGGTCACATTGGCATGATATATTTAGTTAGCTGACAACCTTCCAATACATTAGTTAACATAATAAATTAATATGTGTAATTAAAATGTATCATTTTTTACAAATCATTTCCTTGGTTCATGCAGGTGCTATATCTATGACCGGAAGTGCCATAAACAAACTGACCATTCTTTCACTATAGGTTCAAGGTCAAATACTCATCTACTGAAATGTATAATTTGTTTTACAGTGTGATGTAAGTTGTATTTTTTAATTATTTTTTCTAATAACAATTGATACTACTGAATAATGTTGTGTATTCAACATACTTAGCATACATACTACAGTAGAAAACTCAACATGTATCATCTTGAGATGATCGTAGTGGTACATCTACAGTAAAGTCTGAACTCTAGCCATTGCAATAGCTATAACTGTAACCCTAACTTTGAACCCAGTCCATTGGACGTATGAAGTTGAGTTCAAGTAAGGATCCTGCGGTTAGCTCTATGCCCAGTAGCCTTTATCTGTTATTGAGTATCACCCCATTCCTTACTTAATAAACTGACCTCAAAACTTCCCCAAACTTTATAAGTGTTACCAGTAAAAAAAATTGCTTCGGTTCTCTCACCTTTTCTCAACTCTCTTTCATATATATATATATATATATATATATATATATATATATATATATATATATATATATATATATATATATATATATATATATATATATATATATATATATGTATGTATGTATGTATAAATATACATATATATACATGTATATATATACATATATATACATGTATATATATATATACATATATATATATATATATATATATATATATATATATATATATATATATATATATATATATATATATATATATATTAGACCCTGCTCTAACTCGGGGGTTTTGTTCTATCTTGCCCGTCATGCATTTTTATCAGCGTCTTTTTTCTTTTTACATTTAAATATCGAATGCTATTTAAAATACGTTTTTTATTTACTTTTACACCAAAAGCTTTTTAAAATAAATGTTAACCCTATCTAATTTTTGTTATGTTTACTTCATTATTTTTTTTATATATATTTTGTCTGGGATCATTTTGTCATGTAACACTTCAACCACTTCCGTGTTCTGCTAGTCTTGTGGTCCTGCTGATGGCCGGAAGTTCCAGGGCCTACTTCAGCTTCCAGAAAGAGCTCCCCAACGGTAACAACGTCATTCACCCCTGTAAGGTCAACTACCGGTGGCCTGGGGTGGGGCACGAGAACCCCTATGGAGGGGGCGCCAGGAACCCGTTCGGCGAAGCCTTCAAAAACAGCGGCTATAAGGTGTCTATTCTAATATTTACAGTGCTTTATTTTATAACGAATAATTGAAATAATTGAAGTACTTTAGGTTATAACCGATCTAATTATTGTAGATATAAGGTGTCTATTCTAATATTTATAGTGCTGTTTTTATTACTAATAATTGAAATAATTGAAGTACTTTAGGCTATAACCGTTCTAATTATTTTAGATATAAGTTGTCTTTCGTAATATTCGTTTTGCCGTGTTTTATAACTAATAATTTAAATAATCTAATTATTTTAGGCTATAACCGTGTTTATTATTTCAGATTATAAGGTGTCTATTATCATATTCACTTTGTTGTATTTTATAACTTTGTAAATTACATATATAAATTTATCAGACTAAACAAATAACAATTTAAATAATCACAGTGCTATACGTTACAATCGTGCGAATTATTTAAAATATAAGATACCTATTGTAATATTATTTACAGTAAATTCTTTTGAATATAAGAAACCCATTGTAATATTTAAAGTGATGTTAGTATTGTTAGCGTAAAACTTAAAAAATACTGTTTTATTCATTATTATAATCTTTGTATCATTAATGCTGAAAGATTATAGTTAAAATTAATCAATATTTTCTAATTGGTTTCAAATAGAAACATGATTTGCCTTTAAACTACAATAATAAATGCTAATAAAAGTGGAGTTACATAATTTCATGTATGTTACTGACAATAACCCCCCCCCCCCCTATCCCCTGCCCCAGTGGACAAAAGAATTGTGTTCTCAAGACTCGGATGGGGACGGGCGAACCAATGGTCAAGAGCTTGGTGACCCAAGCTGTATCTGGGCACCCGGGGAGCGTCCATTTCGCCTGGATTCGATCACACACCCAGGTACAGTAATGTGAACTATCGCTAGAAACTGCGAGTAAAGCCAGTAGAGTAGACATACATTTCTGTTTAGGCCCAAAAATGCAAATGACTGACCATAACATTTAAATCTACATAAATACACCCAATTCTATTCTTTAAACATGGCGTAAAAACGCGTTTTACATTTTTGATGTACATTTAGAGGACATTACATTATGTGACAGTAGATAGTTTTTAAAAGCATGTTGGTGGCTTGAATTAACTTCGTATTTATTTTACTGTTGCTTCTAAAATTAGGTGTATTTTTTTCATGTGTGTGTGTGTGTGTATGTGTGTTCCTCAGGTGTGTGTGAACCTATCAACTCCACCCAATGTCTAGGACGGAACAGTTTCCTCGACTGCCATTTGAAAAGTTTTGACGACTGTAACAGAACGAGACAGCCAGGTACATCTACATAGGTGGGGAGTAATTAGGGTGGGGTGGGGGTGGGGGTTATGTTTGGGGTGGGGGGGGGGGGTAAAGGCTAGGGAGGGGGGACAGAAGAGTTAGCAAAGTTGTGGGAGTAGTGCATGTTCTTGGGGGGTCAGGTAGTTAGGGCAGGTAGAGGGTAGTGGTGTATCTAAAAAGGTGTTGACAATAGTATATATTTTATTTGTATAAATACGAATAAAATATCTTTTTTTTTCAATAGTACTTTAAAATTCTAGCAAAATGGAATAGAATCAAATAGAATGTACAATAAAACAAACATCAAAAACCTTTATAATAATAAGCTTTTCATGGCACTGAAAATTAGAAAATAAAACTTAATTGCTTCTTTAAATAAAAGCATTCGTTTTCATTATGCTTTTTAATGTATAATTTAATGTCTAATAAGATATTTTTTTTAAATTCGATATGCATGCATTGTCATTAGAGATGAGTGTATTTTGAAAATTAAAAAAAAAATCACTGCATTAGAAGTGGATCAAAATTCTGTTACCAAAATGGCCACAAACCCACAGACATTGTGAACTAAACAAGTTAATAAAAAGTCTAGTGACAATTTAAGCGCAATTTCCTTAATTAATTTGTTGTGACCGAACGAAAGGATATTTTTGAAAACTTTCTTCGGCAATATTGTTCTAAATTATGGCAGGAATCGATTGGTAAATGTTTCAAGTCGCTAAGTGGTCTGGTTGCCGAGATATGGGCCAAAAACTGAATTTTTTTTAGCTTTTTTTGGCTTTTCCGGGAAATCCAGGAAGGAATTCCGGGAATAGTTTTGGCCCACAATCATCCTCGGAACTTGCTTGACGAGTTAATAATCGCAATTGTCAGTATGGAAATTGTGCTAAAAAGTTAATAAAAAATTTTTTCTACTTTAGATGTGAAGAACCTCACGATGAGGTTTCCGAGAACTTTGTTGCCCTCTGACGACACGAGCTACTTTTGTATGAACTTTGACCTCCCGGCTGACCAGGACTACCACATCATCGCTAACGAGCCGGTACTGGACAACATGAACGTCATGCATCACATCCTGATGTTCGGCTGTGTGGATGGTGAGTACTGGGGAGGGTGGTGGATGGGGAGTACTGGGGAGACTGGGGAGTACTGGGATTGTGGTGGATGGTGAGTACTGGGGAGTACTGGGGAGTACTGGGGAGTGTGGTGGATGGGGAGTACTGGGGAGTGTGGAGGATGGTGAGTACTTGGGAGTGTGGTGATGGGGAGTACTTGGGAGTACTGGGGAGTGTGGTGTTGATGGTGAGCACTGGGGAGTGTGGTGTTGATGGGGAGTACTGGGGAGTGTGGTGGATGGTGAGCACTGGGGAGTGTGGTGTTGATGGGGAGTACTGGGGAGTGTGGTGGATGGTGAGCACTGGGGAGTGTGGTGGATGGTGAGCACTGGGGAGTGTGGTGTTGATGGTGAGTACTGGGGAGTGTGGTGGATGGTGAGCACTGGGGAGTGTGGTGTGGGTACGATGAAGATGGTGTAAACTTGGTGGTAATAAGTGGTTATTGAGGGTACGTGTTTGTTTGAAGTGAGTAATCGGTGATGGTAAGTGGGTATTGGTTGTTGGTAGTAAGTAGTTGGTGGTAAATGGTTGTTATGGTTGGTAGTGGTAAGCGGTTATTGACGGTAAGTTGTTGATGTTGATATATGATTAGGTGTTTGTTGCTTCAAGTGGTTGCTGGTTTTTGGCGTTTGGTTGTGTGAAATTATTAGTCGGAAAGACGATGCCAGTGGTAAAGGTTTGAGACTGGTTTCTGGGAGAGATGGGGGTGGCAGTTTATGGTATCTTTTCCATTGCTGTTGTTACGTCTATGCTGATGATGGTGAGAACACAGCTGTATGCCGTCAACAGCTGTGTTCTCACCATTCTACACATAGTTTCTTTCGGGCATCTCTTTGGGGGATGTCTACCACTCCCCCCCCCCCCCCCAACGAAGTAGAATGTATATAAAAAATATACACTTTAACCAGTGTCTGCCCCTCCCCCGAAAAAGTCCGCCCTTTCCCCCCACGCCGAAAATTTCAAGTCCTCCTCCCCCCCTCCACCCCGGAGAAAAAAATTTGAAAGAAACAGTGACTAAACATACCCACACTAGCTACTTTTAAAAAAATCTTAAATCTTGTAGAAACTAAGACAAGTATAAAAACAAACCAAAGTATTCTAGTCTGTTTGTTTTGAATGTGAATGTAAATGTGTATCCCCCCCCCCCCCCCCTTCGTCCGACCCCCAGGGAGCAAGGCGAACTACACAAAGCCCGGCTCCTGTGGCATGACGGCCCAAGCTATCGGCTGCTACGATATCCTGGGGACATGGACCGTCGGCTCACCTGGCAACTGTCTGCCTGACAACGTCGGCTACCGTTTCGGGATGACGTCATTCAAGCGGGTCTTGATACAGGTGACTTTTTTTTTAAACGGGTCACGCTGACCTAAATTATCACGAGATTGTTCTAATTGTTTTTTTTAACTAACTTAAGATTTTAAATGTGATTAGAAATGTGATCTTGAAAAATTTTAACCAGTTAAAAATAAACAGCGAATAAAATTTAGAACTATGGCCCTCCTCCAACTTTTATCCCCAAACCTAATAACAATTAAGATAATTAAACTAAAAATAGCCGTACCTCGCTTGAGATTACGTCAATAATTGTAACATAGTACAATGATTAACCTAAATAATAGCACTAACGCTAGCTCTCACTCAAATTGTAGATTTTCACCAAAAATAAAAGTAACCATTGTACCTTCACCTAAACCCTAACCCAACACAATCGCTGTCTTTACCTATACCTTAATCCCAACCCCCAACCTTTGCCTTTACCCTATCCCAAACACAACTGTTTCCTTTAAACCCTACGATGACACAATTGTTGTATTCACCTATAACATAATCCCAAACACAACCGTTTCCCTCACATAAATCTTGACCTAAACACAACCGTTACATTGACCTAAACCTGAACCCAACACCTAAACTATAACACCAACACCTAAACCCTAACCCTAACCCCAACACATAAACCCTAACCCCAACACATAAACCCTAACCCCAACACCTAAACCATAACCCCAACACCTAAATCCTAACCCCCAACAACTTAACCCTAACTTCAACACCTAAACCCTAACCCCACTACAATCGGCATCCTCTACCAACCACCACACCTATTCTCCCCCTCCCCCCAGGTCCATTGGAACAACCCCCAGTTCGTACCGGACTACTACGACTCCAGCGGGCTGAGGATCTACTACCAGCCGGTCAACCCAGCGGTCAATGACCTGGTGATGATGCCGGTTGGACAGAACATTCTAGAGATCCCACCAGGTATGTGGAAGTTCTAGAGATCCCACCAGGTATGTGAAAGTTCTAGAGATCCCACCAGGTATGTGGAAGTTCTAGAGATCCCACCAGGTATGTGGAAGTTCAAGAGATCCCACCAGGTATGTGGATGTTCTAGAGATCCCACCAGGTATGTGGAAGTTCTAGAGATCCCACCAGGTATGTGGAAGTTCTAGAGATCCCACCAGGTATGTGGAAGTTCTAGAGATCCCACCAAGTATGTGGAAGTTCTAGAGATCCCACCAGGTACGTGTAAGTTCTAGAGATCCCACCAGGTATGTGGAAGTTCTAGATATCCCACCAGGTATGTATTACAACAAGTCAGCCCATACAACAAAGTTTATTCTGTACGAGCCGACCCGCGGCATATCATACGCCGCTATTTAGTTGTTTTATTTTCTACTTTTCAGTAATTAATAATTGGTGAATTCAACAGTACCAATGCTGCCACTATAAAAATTTGCTTTAAAACACTATCAGTAGGTCGTTAAGGACGATAACCCACTCCCCCACCCTCTTTTCCCCCAACCCTTACCCTACAACCCCTCCCCCCCCCCCCCCCCCCCGTGAAAGCAAGCAGCCTCCTCTTAGTTACCTCCCCTAAGTTTAAAATCGTTTCAAACTAAATTATCTGCCCCTAATAGCCCTCACTAAACCCGACTCGACGATTGTAAACATTTAGCGTGAACCACAGCTCACCAGACCAAGTGGGGTGGGGTGGTAGGGATATGCCTAGAGAGGGAGAGAGGGGACTGCAAGGCGCGCTTACAGCTTGGTGTTTTCTATTGTCTCCAAGAAGATATTTCACTTGCTGTTGACAACCTACAGGGCTGACAGTGTAGGCCCTTGCGGATGTTCCAGACCCCCCCCCCTCCCCACCCCTTTCCACAACATTACTAAACTGCAAAATGGTTGACACAGAAGATCTTTTGTTGTTTACATGGATGATTTGAATCATTTTAGTTGGGATTTAAATTGCCGCAACTGATTATTCTATGATGTCTCCCAGTTCAAGATAACACTGTTACCTCTGAACTCCGCTACAAATGCTCTGTCTGATACACTAGAAAATTAAAGTCAGATTCTAAACAATATTTGTGTGTAGAGTGAGCGAAAGGGGGGGGGGGAGAAAAAGAGAAAGAATTATCTGTCTGATATCAGGACTTGATCGTAAAATGTGTCGAACTGGTTTGAACAAAATCTGATTAAACCTAATGCATTTCCTAATAAAGACGCTTGTACTCTCATTAGAGCAAATATAGTTTTTGAAGTGCGATTTTTTGGAATTTTATTATGTCGACTTTGTAGAAGACAAGCAATATGTTTTTATTTTTTGTTGTTGTTGTTTTGTTTTTTTTGTGTGAAATCAATGCAAATTAATATTTATGTGGGCAATAATACAGGGTACACTAATGTAAAATGTCAAAATGTCAGAAAGCTAGAATGCAATATTTTAAAAACGTTGAAACATAATACTTTTCAAATGACAAAAAAATGTATCTCAGAATTTACTGCGTTTGTCCTCAATTCACTCGACGTTTTGGAAATGTGTATATGTGTTACGTTAAAGGTACACCATGTCTATGCTAGACCAGATCTTAAACTTAACCACATACCTTGCTCTAGACCATACAGTAACCCAAATCCTAAACCTAAACTTAACAGCGATTCATGCAGGTATAAAATCTCGACTATGCACAATATATACAAAACTGTACTGTCATGTCTGGATTAAAAAACAAATCCGTACTTTAGGTCAGTCAAGCGTGACCCAGTCGGGGGTGTGCCCCGGGAGTTGTATGTCTATGATCATCTCTAAACCCGTCTACGTGGTTCAAGGTCTCAACCACATGCATTACCTAGGTGAGTGCAGGCTGTTGGTGTAGGAGATGTGTGTAACGTTTGCTGTGTGGTAGAAAGTGTTTGTTCCGTCATTCCACTCAGTGGTGTGTCGTTTGGTTAGATCAAGTTGATGTTGTTTAGAAAAGGTCGTTACTGGTGTCTAGAAAAGGTCAAGATAGTGTTGTCTAGTATAGGCCAAGTTGATGCTGTCTAGAATGTTGTCTAGAATACGCCGTCTAGAATAGATCAACATAATGTTGTAATATGTCAACGTGGTATTTTCTTTACAATGTCAAGCTGGTGTCTAGTAATAGCCAGCTGATGTTTATTCAAACATGTCAACTAACCACCGGACCTCCTAGAACACGGGTTCCCAACCTGGGCGTCGCGACCCCCCTGGGGGTCGCGAAGGGCTTTCTGGGGGGTCGCCAACTGGTATACTAAACCTTAGTAATTTGAAACAAAAATAAATATTTAGAAGAATTTTTGAAATTCGGCTTTACTAACATCACTGGAAAGGGAATAGAAAAGAAGCAAAGCGTACTGTACAAAGTTTTTCTCAGTCACGAGTTTATGAAATCTTCAAAACTAAAGCGTCATTTGAGACGAGTCATTCGAAACACACCAAAAAAGATATAGAGTTCTTTCGTCGGTATGAAGCTAGCTGCAAACGTCAGAGACTTGATTGAACAGGAAGTTTTCACCAAGTAAACACAGCATTAGTGCAAGCATCACATGAAGTCGCGACAGAAAATGCCAATCAAAAAAAAAAAATAATAGGAGAAAATCTCATCAAACGCTGCATGTTGAAGATGGTGAAGTTAATTCTTACATGTCCGTAGATGTTAAATAACATATTTTTATTGAAATTAAGCTTTCACCATTTTTTGCTTTTCAAGTTGATAAATCAACAGACGTGAGTTCGTGTTCGCAGTTGCTGGTCTTTGTCTATATTCATTCAGATGATAGCAAAGAAGAGTTGCTCTTTTGTGAAGATAGCATGGAGAAAATAAAAAATAAAAACGTTTTTTTTTTTAAATTGGATGATTAAAATGGGTTAAAACGGCTGTGAGGGTTTGTACGGATGGTGCACCATCTATGTTTAGGTCAAAATCGAGCTTTCAGAAAGCAGAAAAGATTTAGCTCCCTAACCACTGCCCTCACCAATCGCCATCAAGACTCCATTGCTAGTATAAGTGGTAACTTATATAACACCTGGAGCCTTCAAAGAACTGTGCAAAGACCTGAATAAAGATCACGAGGTTCTGCTCTTCTACACTACAGAATTGTTGTGAATCGTGTTTTTTAATTGAAATCTGAAATCAAATTGTTCTTGGAAATGCAAAGGAAACAAGACCTTTTGGTATACTTAAAACGACATAGAGTGGTTGGAGAGAGTATCATACCTAGCAGATGTGTTCGAACATCAACATAAGCATAACCTGAAGCTTCGGGGAAAATGAAAGAATATTATCACTTTCCATGATAATCTCGGGGCATTTTTATCAAAACTGCAAAATTGGCGAAGAAAATAATCATGGAAATATTGTAAATTTGAGAAACTCTGCAGTGTGGTAGATGAATCTAATTGTGAGATAATTGAAATTTTGAAAGAAGAAATTTCTGGGCATCTTGAATCAAGTGAAAACGAACTACAGCGCTATTTCTCTGAGCTGAAAAAAAAAAGAATCTGCATTGATGCAATATCCATTCTCTTCTTCCCTCGATGTTGCCAGCATCCACGATGAATTACAAGTTGAATTCTTTGATTTGTAGAATGATTCCGCGTAAGATAAAAAACTGCACACACAATTTTGTTGTAGTATTCACCATTCATACCCAAACGTAAAATTGACTGACTTTTCGAGAATAGATTTTCAACACTATTTTTCGATTAAAAAAAAATTAAGATAATGATAATGACATAGGTTGGCGTTAAAAAAATGCTTTAAAAAAAATTAACCACGAATGTTTAGTGAATAGTATGCAATTTTACTCATGGTATTAAAATAGCTATCAAGAGTAGTTCATATTGAAAGTCTACTAGAAAATGTTAATTTAGTGCTTATTAATTTTCATAATAATTTCGGCTTTTTAATTCGATGGGGGTCGCGGGTCACTTAATTTTTTATAAAAGGGGGTCGCCACTCGAAAAAGGTTGGGAACCACTGTCCTAGAAGAACTGCAGTCTGTGACAGCGAGATATGCCTCAACGTTAGCTGACTGGTTGTTTTATCCATCACAGGCCGCAGTGGTCGTGTGGAACAGTACAGGAACGGTACCAAGGTCACCGACCTGACCAATGATGAGATGTACAGCTACGACAACCCTACCATCCATGAGTAGGTGGTTTTTTCTGTTAGTGTTTTAGCGACAGGGTGATTAAACCAATGAGTAGGTGGTTTTTCTTTTAGTGTTTTAGCGACAGGGGGATTAAACCAATGAGTAGGTGGTTTTTTTCTGTTAGTGTTTTAGCGACAGTGGGATTAAATCCATGAGTGGGTTTGTTTTTTAGTGGTCTAGAGACAGTGGCATAAAATCCATGAGTAGGTGGTTTTTTCTGTTAGTGTTTTAGCTACAGTGGGATTAAATCCTTGAGTAGGTGTTTTTTTTTAATTGTTTTAGCTGCAGTGGGATTAAATCCTTGAGTAGGTAATATTTTTTGTGTGCTTTAGATTCAGTGGAATTAAATAACTGTTCTAACGTCTTTATATTGTAAAACAACAAAATGTTCATTAGGGCTAACACATTAGGCATGATTAGGTCATTATGGCAGGTGAAATAGAGTTTACCAATTTGGTAGGTACGGGACGGCGTAGTCGAACGGTAGAGCATTTGGCTGCTAGCCCGAAGATATCGAGTTAGGCTCGAATTAGGGACTGTAGGACGTTCTGAGTCCACCCAGCTCTAATGGGTACCTGACTTACGTTGGGGAAAGTAAAGACGGCTGGGCATAATGCTGACCACACTATCTCTTCAAATGCCTAGGACACGAAATATATGAATATATGATGTCTACATCACCTGTCCATTTGTCGATTCGTAGTTGAACTTAACTTTTAATAAGGAAGGTAACATAAAGGTTAAAAAGCACGACAGGTAAAATAGAGTTGACCTGTGGTGCATGTAGAATAGTTATCAAATTATCAAATAACCAAATTGGTCGGTGTGATCGATTCGGTAATGTTCATGGTTGCTAAACCGAAAAGTCTCGAGTTCGAACCCTCGGGCAGATGAGGCTCGTTAGCTGGGGACAGACAATCTTCTAGGAGAGACAACTCCAAAATAAAACAACTGCTGCCTTGTAGTTTGTTCTTGGTTGGACAAAGGCTATGGAAGTAAATCAAAAAAAATGCAGGCTGAAATCGGAGTCAATGGCCTCAATGGCGCATAACCAGTTGACACGTATCCTTAATTGTGTTGGAGGGGATCCCTTCCAACACTAAAATTAAGAACGAAGAAGAAGAATAACCAAATGCTAGTTTTGAAATTAGCCCTAATTCCCAAGCTATTGCCAGATACAAATGTTTTATCGTTGCCAAAATGTTTCACTGATCCTGTCAGCCACTCCCCTCCCCTGGAGATCCGGCCCGGGGACGAGCTGAAAACGACGTGTGTGTTCAACTCCCTCTCCTCCAACCGTTACGTGTACTTTGGTGAGGCCACACAGGACGAAATGTGCCTGGGGTTTCTGACCGTCTACTCGGCCAGCGCCTTCAAGAAAATTAAAGGTAAATTGGTGAACTGCCAGTTAACTTTAGTTTACTATCCCAAAACCTGACGACGTAAAATTTGGGTTTGAGATTGTTTTTTTTTTGTCATATTACAAGACTTTGATCTGCTTGTTGTTTTATTGTTTCAAATTGTCTTAAGTTGACGCTTAAATATTTACTGTTTTCTTATTCTTATTTCAAAATCATTTTTAAAGTGTCTTATTAAACAAAATATGCATGCCTCTCTACGCTTTACTAAGCAAACAAAAATACATGCATTAAGGTTGTTATTAATTAACCTAATTATTCATTTTTTAGCCTTGTTACTAAACACAAAATACATGCTTTAAATTGTTATTAAACTTAATAACAACATGCTTTTAAATTATATTCAACTAAATATATAGATCTATATGTTTAGAATGTTATTAAACCATATATATATATATATATATATATATATATATATATATATATATATATATATATAGGCCTATTTATATATTTCGATTTTTATTAAACTAAATATATAGATCTATATGTTTAGAATGTTATTAAACCATATATATATATATATATATATATATATATATATATATATATATATATATATATATATATATATATACATTATAAGCCTATGTATATATTTATATTGCTATTAAACTAAATATATAGATCTATGTGTTAAGATTTTGACGAAACTAAATTTAAATGTTCTCAGACTGTGTTCAGGTTGGCCCTGTGTCTTCCTGCGACAGAAATGTAGGCAAATCCGTGGCCGGCTGTGATTGGATGAAATTTGCGACCTTCACGGATATGACCTCACTATCTTACCTCCAGAGGCTGGAGAACAGCTGCACGTTGGATGGCGTGTGCCGAGCTCAATGTCGGGAGGTGAGTCGACCAATGTGTCTTTAATCAGCCGAGACTGTCAAGTCTGCTGTGTCTTGTCGGAATGTATTTTTACTTTCTCGTATACGAAGTATAGAGGAAATATTGAAATCCTGCAAACATTCGGAAACGAGATTTTCACAAACCTTGACGTATTATTGTGGTTTACACCTCACTGAGTCGGGAAAACATAGTTTTACAATTGTGTCCGTATGTCTGTGTGTATGTGTGTGTGTGTGTGTGTGCGTGCGTACTTGCTTGATTACCTGCATCCGCGCGTGTGTGCGTGTGTTTGTATGTGTGTCTGTGAACAAGATAACTTGAGTACCGTTACTGATAGGTTGATTAAATTTCCTATTCAAGTATTATATCAAATGCTTAGTTCTATATCAACTTTTCAGCGATTTCCGGTAACCGGAAGTGGAACTTATTCTTCTGATTTTTCAAAAGCCTATAACTGTTTCAGATGGATGTGCGAAATTTCACATATAAGAAAAAAAATCTAATTCTCCTCCGTGATCAACTCGAAGCATATCTCACTTTCCTTGTTTCAGGTCCACGCTGAGATAGCTCAGCATCCTTGCATGAGCGGAGACATCGCGAGTTACGTCAACTTGATCTTGAGCAGGACCGACAATGGTCTCAAATTCCTGGGGAGGTTTCATTCATGCAGTGGGAAGATCGAAGACAGAGTGGAATGTTCTGGAAAAACATGTCCTTGTTGACATTTTTTGCAGGATTTTTTTTAAATCAATGTCGCCAGTTTTACCAACAGCTTTTTGTTATATATCTCATTGTATACAAACATTTTAGTGATAGTTGAAAGCTTGACTTTATTTAGTCTGAATTTATAGCTTCCATTTTATCAAGGGATAGGTTGTTTTATAAATAAACCACAAATAAATATAGATCAACGTACAGCGAAACATCGGCTTTGTCGACTTTGGTTATTGTGGGGTTCGGTTTTCGTCGATAAATAATAGCTTTTAAAAAAATCAATCAGTTTTTCTTCGGTTTTCCTTTTTTTTTTTGTCTTCACCTGGCCAGATCAAAGTTCAGAAATAAAATTTAAAATATTTAATTGTTCACGTTTTCTTCATTTTGCCCCAATTATATTTGTATTGAGTGCTAAGTTAGAACTAACCTTATTATACGTCCAATACAACTATATACATGTATTTTTGATGGTCCAGGAATTAATTGGAGTAATATTCATTTTCTTAGTTTCGGATTTCGGTGATTTTTTTCTAGTGGACTATCGACGAAAACCGCTGTTTTCCTTAAAGTTGACTTAATTTCGTTCTATCGATTTTATGTAAATGTAAAAAAAAAAATACTTCTTCAGAATTAGAAAATAAATAAATGAGTAAAAAGTAGAATTAACTTTTCAGCGAACAAACACAGGAGAATTTGATTATCTACATACAGTTCATTTTGTTACATATTGTTCTAATTTCCTGTCTATCAACCATCTAATTAAGTTCAACAAAGATTATGACCCCCTAGCTTTCAAACTAAATATAGTATCAGGAGACTTTTATCAAAATTGCGTTCTTCTTCATCATTTTTACAAAGACAAACTTAGAATCATTCACAATTCCATCCATTTCACTAATGGGTGATTCCAATCCGACTCTTCTTCAACCTTTGATTCAGATTTTATTTACCCTGCCCCACAAAAATCTATTTCGTTTTTCGCTGACGTCATAACTAACCGGAAATTGACATGTCAGGTTTTTTTAAAAGACTTCTTTTACAGGTGAAATTAATTTTAGCTGGACTTTTTTAGAAACCAACAGGTCTAAAAAAAATATATGGGGAGAATTGTATGAATAAAAGTACAAAATAATAAAACTCTCAGACAATGTCAAGAGGTTTAAAATGAGTCAACATGATCGGCGCGTGGTTATGTTTTAATTACAGTTTTCCACATTATTACCACATATAATATGTATTTTAACATGCATGGTAATGACATATAAGGGTAAGGGTTAGATCGACTTAAATATTTACTGGAAAACTTAAAACAATAGGGAAATATGTGGGAAGGTGACGAGGGGGATGTGTGAAACAGACTTAAGCACAGTGAATCATCATAATGAGGAATAAAAACAAACATAGAAAACTTATAATAACAAGCTTTTAAGTGAACTGAAAATAAGAAAATTACAAAAACTTGTTTGCTTTAATAAAACCATAGGTCGCCAGAGGCGTAGCTAGGGGAGGGCGGGGAGGGCGGCCGCCCCGGGCGCCGACCATAGGGGGGCGCCAAAAGGGGTAGAAAAAAAATTAAAAGCTCATTTTAAGCTTCAGTTTTGAATTATAAACAGTCAAAGTAAAGAAATTTAACGGCTGAGAGCCTTTGCATACTGATTTAACTGTTTTCTACCTTGATTATGTAACTGTAAAACATATATCTTTAAGAAACAGTGACCGGAAAAACCGCTTTCCAGCTTTTGTAGATGGGGAGAGGGGGCGCTTTTTCGAAGACTAAAATCGGAAAAATTCACACCGCATTAAGGAATAAATATCCGATATCACTCAGAAAAGAAACCCATTAAACTAAAGCGTATTTTACGATTGTAGTGACGTTTAAAATCCGCTCTACCATTTTTTGTCCAAGATGTCGGGGCGCTTTTTCACTAACAAAAACCGCAGGATTTGTACTGGATCGGTTGCTAGATAACTCTTTTAACACTTAGAAAATAAATCAATTGTATTAACACTTAATGTACGATTTCACTACCCAGTTTTGCTAAGTAATAACGCGACTAGTTCTTTGTACGATTCTTACGATTCTCTCAACTTGATCGTGAGAGATCAGATACTTTTACTTGATTGCATTACATCTTGCCTGGAAATATCACGGATTCTTGTATCGCTATCCGATCAGTAAAATAGACTGTCGGAGCGGGTGGATGGGAAGCAACACTTTTTGCCAAAATTTTAAGAGAGAAGAAAATTTGTATATTGTACTGATTATTACTTTGTTCAACCTAACTGATAATTCACAATGGCAATGTTGGCCTACTATTATCGAAATTGTTCTAAAGACACTACCAAAAGTAGAACAAATAAGGTTTGCACCTTCTACAAAATACACTCTAAATAGTTTCATATGCGCAATCACCGGACCCTCCTTAATAGTTGTAACTTTTACCCAGTTAAATTTTTACCCTGGGACAAACTTTCGATTTGCCCCCCACCACCCCCCCTTCAAACTTTCGATTTGCACCCCCCCCCCCTTATACTTTTTATATTTATACCGAGGGGTCTATGGGGTGGGGAGGGTGTTATGACCCCCCTAACCCCCACCAATGCCTACGCCACTGGTCTTAACCCTGAGACTGAATTACCGAACCTCTCGGGTTCGATGGAGCCCACTGTTCTAAGCTCTTTTGATTTTCTACTTTTTATTCGTTTCGGCATCTTAAGGTGAATTTAATTGGCGCCCAGTGAAGTTTTATGGAACGACAATCAGCGTAATTGTTAATTTTTTTCCAGACCGTCGCACACACAAACACACACGCATATATATATATATATATATATATATATATATATATATATATATATATATATATATATATATATATATATATATATATATATATATATATATATATATATATATATTATATATATATATATATATATATATATATATACATATATATATATATATATACATATATACATATATATATATATACATATATACATATATATATATATACATATATACATATATATATATATATATATATATATATAAATATATATATATATATATATATATATATATATATATATATATATATATATATATATATATATATATATATATATATATATATATATATATATATATATATATATATATATACATATATATATATATATACATATATATATATATATATATATATATATATATATATATATATATATATATATATAATATATA